ACATTAGTTACCTCCTGACCCTTAAAAGTCAATATAACTCTTGTAAAAACTTTTGTAGATTTTGTTGGAAATATGTATATTTGTTTACATACGGGCAGTGTGAAAGTCAATATGTCTGAATTAAGTATGATTAATTTTAAATGTACAACGGAAATATTTTTCATGATTACACAACATTACACTATAGACAAGGAATGCATAAATATCTATTATTTTAAGCATCATTATGTGAAGAGCCAAATATTGAGTTTTATCTCATTAATCCATGATGATTTAGACAGAAATTACAATATTTACTCTTTCACTACTTTATACCTTCCAAGGGAAAGAAATAATTACGTACTTGGTAATATACAACCACCCTTTTGCTTTTATTTCACGGTACATCACTTATAATAAATCTGTTTGTGTTTTTATATTTGAAGGAATGGCAAACTCAGGGATTTATTCACCAAACACCGATTTGTATTTAATTGAAAGCTGAATTGCACAATAAAAGCTAAAATTGCCAAACAGTGACCATCGCAGGACAATTCTTAAGTAAATTTTGCTTAAAGTTTGTAAATCAGTTTCCAGTTAATTACAGTTTCATATTTAGTAATTAAAACCAGTAATGGTCAGAGGATGCAACGCTGCCTTCTTCTCCTCCAATTAAAGAATGAAACTGTATATCAAGGGACACTCCAACCACAGATTTATAGTTTTTGTACAAACAAAATAAATGTTTTGCAGAAGGCTTAACCAAAAGCCAGCCTCCTTAGCCACACCTCCATACTCCAGAAAAACCCCCAACTTCTTTATCCAGGGATTGTCAGCAGCTAGGTTATGAATTAAAAGCATTTCACTCAGTGCTGTTGGGGCTGAGACTGTGCGCATATCTTTAATAAGGAATTCTTTCTGGCATGAGGGGGCGTGGCTAAGAAGGCAGGATTGCATTCTGCAAAACATTATTTTTTTGTGTGTAATAACTATAAAAATATGATCATGCCCCAAAATACAGCATATTGATGTTAATAAGGGACAACAGATATCGCCTCTCCCTCGCTCTCTGAGTATGTCTATTTGATTTTGCGCATCTTTATACTAGGGAATGTCTATGCATGTCTTGTAGTGTGCGATTGTGTTGCTAATTGGGTTGGTGTGTGTTATAAATGGATAATTCTGTATGTGTGTATTATTAGATGTTTATAAGTGGCTAGGTATATGTATGCTGCCAATCATGTATGAGTTTGTGTGGATGAGGCCCTAGTGTAGAGTTTTCCACTGGATGTCGGTGTAAAGTTTTTGAGCAGGTTGCTGTTGTCAGAACCATTTGAAAACATTATTCAAAGAATTTCAGATCAGCCACAGCTCCTTTGTTTTGCATAAGGAAATACTCAAACCCACAGTGCTTGGCTTACAAAGTCCCAATGTAGCTTACCAACAAACAAAAGATCTGGTTGCTGTTTTTTCTTTTACGGAAGTGTTGACAGTGCGGAGGTTGTGAGTTTGAACTAAAATATGGAGTAATGTTTTGCTGGAGTGTGGCTTTTACTATTCATTTACTTACGTGTAAGGTTTACCAGTGTTCCAGAATTATTATCACATATTTTGTCAATGCGATAAACTGAATATGAATTCTAGCTGGTACTGCTGAATAGCTGAATTTGAAAAGTAGTGGGTATGGTATTGTGGCTGCTCATTGAACAGGGAGTGAATGTCATGTAAAAGGATCGCTGCCAGCAAAAGAAGACCGGGTTAAGTAAGAGACATCAGTAACTTAAACGGACTCTCTAGTGTTAAGAATACAGTGTCCTCTGGTCCCCCCTCCCTCACACCCACACCCCACTAGCTCAGAAATTGTACTTTATTTACTCACCAAATTAACCACTCCACCTCCAAACTAAGTCATCTAATAGGAGGACCTAATGCGCATGCGTGGCAAGCTTTCCTATGTGGATTTCACTGATGCTGGATATCCTCGTGCACGTTCAGCGTCATTTAGGGGACCCAGAGTCTAGTAAACTCCCTGAAGCACCTTTAACCCCTTAACGACCTAACGACCTAGGACGGTTCAGGACCGTCATCGGCATTTTTCCATTGCCGACCGGTGGCGATCCTGAACCGTCCTAACGGTCTTATGTACTTACCCGATCGCCATCGTTCCCCCGGCAGCGATCGCCAGTGCTCCCGGTGTGGGGAGACTGCCTGCAGCCCAGACAGTCTCCCCGCGGCAGATTAGGACCCCTGGGGCCATGTGATCGCTCAACAGAGACGTCACATGGTCACAATAGGTGTCCATGTGTCTGCCTGCAGGGGGACTGTCTGTGCCGACAGGCAGTCTCCCTGCTAGTGTAAAATCATAAAAAAAATTAAAGTTAATGTTAATAAAAAATAAATATATGTGTATATATATGATATATAGACATATATTATATATGTATATAATATGTCTAAATATCATATATATATAATGTCATACTAAGTGTATTTTTATATTAATATGTACATATATTAATATAAGAATACACTTATAATTAAATTACACACATATATATATAATAACTATATATATTGTATATATATATATATTATTATAAAATACAAATAAGTAGATTAAATTAAATAAAAAAATTAATAATAAAAATTTAAAAAAATTATATATCTATATGAAATTTTATTCTAACTGTATTTTGATATTAAAATATATATATTTATATCAAAATACACTTAGAATGAAATTGTATATATATCTATGTATATATAAATAAATAAAAATAATACGAAGTATACATATGTCCATATACAAAATTACATAAATAATTATATAAATATACACGTAGACTTAAAATATACAAATATGCATATATATTTAAATTCTTTGTGCGTATTTATGTAATATTTTTACATAATTAAGTAATCTTATTAATTGCAATTTGAGGGAACAGCCTGCCAACCCAGGCCGAAAGTCCAGAGAATTTAATTAGCTAGCACTGTATTTTACCCTGTAACGTTCTACGACACCCTAAAACCTGTACATGGGTACTGTTTTACTCGGGAGACTTCGCTGAACACAAATATTAGTGATTCAAAACAGTAAAACATATCACAGCGATGATATTGTTAGTGAAAGTGACTTTTTTCACATTTCGCACACAAACAGCACTTTTACTGATGATATAATTGTTGTGATACGTTTTCCTGTTTTGAAACACTAATATTTGTGTTCAGTAAAGTCCCCCGAGTATAACAGTACCCCCCATGTACAGATTGTATAGCGTTTCTGAAAGTTACAGGGTCAAATATATGGGTAAAATATTTTTACATTGAAAATGGCCAGGTTGGTTACGTTGCTTTTGAGAGCGTATGGTAGCCCAGGAATGAGAATTACTCCCATGATGGCATACCATTTGCAAAAGAAGACAACCCAAGGTATTGCAAATGGGGTACGTCCAGTCTTTTTAGTAGCCACTTAGTCACAAACACTGGCCAAAATTAGCATTCAATTTAGTTTTTTACTTTTTTCACACACAAACAAATATGAACGCTAACTTTGGCCACTAAAGTCGGTGGCTACTAAAAAAAACTGGACATACCCCATATTGAATACCCTGGGTTGTCTACTTTAAAAAAAAAAAAATATCTACATGTGGGGTGTTATTTAGAGATTTATGACAGATAATAGTGTTACAATGTCACTAATGATAAATTTGAAAACATTTATGTTTTGAAACCGCAATATCCTACTTGCACCTATAGCCCTATAACTTGCACAAAAAAAAAAGCATGTAAACACTGGGTATTTTTAAACTCAGGACAAAATTTTGAATCTATTTAGCAGGTTTTTTTTATTCGCTTTTGTAGATGAGTAAAAGATTTTTCAAGTAAAAGTAAAAAACATGTATTTTTTTCAATTTGTCATCATATTTTTTTATTTTTTTTAAATTAAATTACATGAGATTATATAAATAATGGTGTGTAAAGAAAGCCTTTTTTTGTCCTGAAAAAAAAACCAATATATAATTTGTATGGGAACAGTAAATGAGAGCGCGGAAAAATACAGCTAAACACAAACACCACAAAAGTGTAAAAAGAGGCTTGGTCGCAAATGTACAGCATTGCAAAAACAGTGCAGTCCTTAAGGGGTTAATGGCTGTCTTAGTGCTGCAATGTAAGCATTGCAATTTCTCGAAAACTGCAATGATTAACATTGCAGGACTAAGTGGGACAGAGACTCTGCTTAAATGGTCTGGGTACCTATAGTGTCCCTTTAACATTTGAATATTATAAATTATGCAGACTTCTTTGAAAGCTTATCCATAGGATTTCAGTCAGTAAAGAACCTCATATTGTGGGTGTATGACTCTAGTTATGCAATATGATATACTGAGACAGACATTGACCATAATGCCATGTGATCATGAGGATGAATGTCTGATCCAGAAAAAAGAACTAAAAAATGTAGTAGGGTTTTGATTTAATTAAGCCCAAGTGATAATTGTATATAATGCTCTAAGTCAGGGTGTGTGGGTTCTACTCCCACATGGGGAATAGAACATTTGTAAACCAAATGGAAGGCATTGCGACTGATTTCAACAGCTCATTTAATATACATTTTAATAAACAAATTATTAAATACAGTTAACTTTTCCGCATTAGATTGTCAACCCAAATATTACATGTGCAATCGACCACCGTAAATAAGGCAAGACAGTCACCATTCGGCTATATACCATGGTTAATTTGTATTGTATTCTCTGCCTGAGCCTGTAGTTGATACTTGGCCCATAAACTGTGCTGTCTGTCTTGATGAAGAACTGTGAAATACAGGTCATAGATGTGTATGATAACCTGACAATGAAAGACATATCCATCTTCAATGTGTAAGCAAACATCTTCAACCAATGGCATGGCCCACATTCAGCTTCACTGAGCAAAGTTCGAACATATTAATGTAACATTACAATTCTGCCCTCTAGTGGTAAAGAGACTTTAATGTATTTTTTATGGTTTTTTTTTCTGCTGTCTATGAGAAGAAAAGTGCATAGCCTGCTCCTTATTTTGGACTGAATGCTTCTACAATTAAGGAAGACATAAGAGCAGATACATAACCTATTTTGGATAATGATGTACAGGTTAAGAAACAGTGGCATAATGGTTCTAATTGTGTTTGATTTGCTTTTTATTGTTATTGTTATATGTAAACACCAACATATTCTGCAGGTATGTACAATAGGTGGACTAACAAACAAGTAATTGCAACATAACAACTTGCACATACAGGAACAGAAGTTGCTAAGGGCCATGCTCAAACTTACATTCTAAGGGTGCTGTAAGACGTTAGGTAAATCGAATTTTAAAGTCAATTTTAAGTAGATCTGGTTTAGGGTAAGTGGTGAGAGTAGCAAACAGACAGAAAAAATGGAAAAAAAACCAGGCTGACTTCTTTGATAGTTGTATCCTGACTTGTTTCTGCCTCAATCAGTATACAAGAATCCATTTAAATAAAGGGTTTTATAGTACTAGCCAACACTAATCAATGGAGGATTTGGGGAAGAACTAGATCTTTGTCTGTGTTATTACTTGGATAAAACGTGAGAGTCTTTTCTTATGACCAGAATATTCTTGATGTTCCAGGAGGGATAAGCCAAATGGCAAATGATTTAGGTAAACTAGAAAATGGAGCTGTGGCAACTGACATTTAATGTGGATAAGTGCAAGATACTGCACATTGGACATAAAAACCTAAGGGAAGAGTACAGAATATTTGATAGAGTCCTGACCTTATTTCAGATGACTTAAAGGTAGGCAGACAATGTAATAGAGCAGCAGGAAATGCTAGCAGAATGCTTGATTGTATAGGGAGAGGTATTAGCAGTAGAAAGAGGGAAGTGCTCATGCCATTGTACAGATCACTGGTGAGACCTCACTTGGAGTATTGTACACAGTACTGGAGACTGTATCTTCAGAAGGATATTGATACCTTAGAGAGAGTTCAGAGAAGGGCTACTAAACTGGCTCATGTATTGCAGGATAAAACTTACCAGGAAAGGTTAAAGAATCTTAACATGTATAGCTTGGAGGAAAGACGAGACGGGGGGATATGATAAAAACATTTAAATACATAAAGGGAATCAATACAGTAAAGGAGGAGACTATATTTAAAAGAATAAAAAACTACCACAACAAGAGGAAATAGTCATAAATTAGAGGGGCAAACAATCAAAGGGACACTGTAGGCATCCAGACCACTTCAGCTCATTGAAGTGGTCTGGATGCTGTATCCCTTTTGCACCTAGAGCTGCAATGTAAACATTGCAGTTTCAGAGAACTGCAATGTCCTGAATATCTTCAGTTGCGACATATACTTTTAGCGCATGTTTAGTTCTCTAGCGTGGGATTTGTAGGTATACTGCTGTTTGATTTATATAATCTCACACATTGTAATGTTACTGCTGGCAAACAAGGTGCCCCCTTTTATCATGGTTCTAGACGCAGATTGGAGTCATGGATTCATTGTTGATGCAGGTATGATTTGCTTGGCTCTCGTATATAATTGTCAGTTCATTCCCCCCCCCCGAAACTCCAGTGCAGGTTATTTCGGGGACCTCGGAACATACTTTATTTTAGGAAGGTTAGATGTGACGGTGTTCATTGGGAAGCCACCACTCACATCAACATGGAACAATAATACAGAACATATTTATTCTTCCATGGGTAGTATTCCTCCTACGCATGATGTCATTATTTTGTATTGCTGTCCCTAAGCAGACAGGTGAGTGCTGTCCCCGCCATCAGCCACCTGTTCGACACACTGCCAGGATTTCATCAGAGCCAGTGATTTGAGGACTTTGCCTGCGGTATTTTCCAGCTCAGAGAACAATGGTGATGAAACTTCCATTGTAGTCTCTCCAAAAACAGCAGAGCAGGAGAACTAGAAGCGGATTTAGCTAGACCTTCTAAAAGGGAAATCAATTGCCCAAGTACAACCTGTCCTCAGAACGGAGACCTGTAAACTTGTATAAAGTTTAGTTCAGTAACTGTGTCAGTGCTCAAGGCACTGGTATGAGTCCAAGTATCTATTATTAAATAGCACAGGGTTACAAAGGAAGCAAGGAAATACCTCCTACATACAGCTAACCACCAAGCTATGGTAACACAAGTAAGGTAATGTGAATATGTATAATGCCACACAAACAGACTCCAGGCATCATGACCTATTCAAATCACAGAAGTAGTTGTGGTGCCTGGAGTAACCCTTTAAATAATTAAAGTGGCACTGTCATTTTTCCCCCTTCTTTTGTTTTTTCTTTTCTAATGCCTTATGTAACCTTAATGATGATTCTTCCCTCTTTGCCACTTGCCTTTATGTATTTTTATTATAAATTCTTCTTTTTGTTGGGTCTCAATATTTTGGTGCGGCCATTTCGTTCTCCTCTGCCATGCTGTCTATTGTTTCCCCTTCTGTGTGGTTGATTTCACTAATGGATTGTGGGTAAATTTGATTGACTGAGACAGAACCTTACTTTAAGAGGTCAAGTTTTTTTTAAACTTGACTTCTATAAATAAGGAAAAGCAGACCCTACTTTTGTTTATGTATTTTGCGAAAATAAGACCTCTCAGGAAAAAAAATAATAAGAGGTTCAGACACAGCGAGATATGTGGAAACAGATTAGATAAAGTTTATTTTTGGTGACAGAGCCACTTTAAGTACTGGCCCTTTAAAAACTATATATAAATAAAATACTCACAATGCTGGAATAGATTTCCTATATGCTACTCTGATGCAGTTTCTTATATCTTCCTGTGAGGTTTTGATTTCTTTCTTTCCTTAACATTTTTCTTTTTTATAACGACAAAAAAAGAGATTAATTTAAAAACAAAACCTGCAAAGTGGCAGCACTGCTTTAAAAAAAGTTTTCATTGCTGATAGATGAATTAGGCTATATCTTTAAAATGTCTTTTAGCACTCATGACGCCTTTACAAACTACATTTTTTTTTAAAGAATGTTTAAATAGTCTCACTCATACTTTTTGGGTAATTGTTGACCCTGCTAATATGTAATGAAATGGAAATATTCATTTAACACGTTCCTATCTGGAGATTTTTTATATTGATTTATTTTATGGTCTATTAGACTATATGAAGCCAAGTTAACATTCTTAGTCAGTAGAACAGATCACCACACTGCTAGAACATGCCAACAACACCCATCGAACATGCCAGCAGCACCCATCAATGGCTTACTCAGGAATTAATTTATTTATTGCTGCAGCCGAAGTCTAAGCTCCACAAAAAAATGGACTACCAAGGTTATCACTTACTGGATTATATTGTAGATTGCTGTTTTGTTTTTAATTATATCATATTTGATTGTGTTTGTTAACCTGGCATTAATAGGATCTATTCATTTTTCTTGATTTTGTATATTCATGAAACAACACTCTTATCAGCCAATAAATATGCCAGTTGATATAGATAAGTATTTGCCATTTATTAAAAAGTATATTTATCATTAGGTGAACAGAAGGAAAATAGAGAATTTTAAATGCTCAGATGTAGAAAACAAAAGCCAGCCTCTTGCACGCTGTTATACATCCTGGTGTCGGGATGCTAAACATGAAATTTACATTCTCTATAGCAAAACTTGCCTTTAACGGAAAAGATCTTGCATAAAACCAGGTCCAGTAATAGAACTAAGGCACATGGAGGAGACACTTCCCCTCTAATACTGCAGAATGAATCATCTGTGACATACTTGACAACAGATACAGAATGTTCATGCAAAACAATCTAAATAAATATTAAGCTAACATTAGCTGTAGTTTAGAACCCTCCCCCCCCTCAAAAAAACCCCAACCAAGATAGATGATCACAGAAGCCTTACTCCATATGCTTTACCAATTATCAGAAGACTTTACATGACCACAAAACGCTGTTGGCAGAGGATATATCCTTAACATTGCTATTAACTAAAGTGAGAATTGTTGGGAATTCAAAGTGAATTGCAGTTTCAAATTTATGGTCAAAATAGCCAAACTGGAATTTGACCTGGATAATTTGAAATTCGCATTGAATTAGTGACAATTCTCCCTTTAGCGAATAACCACGTCAGAGTAGATCTTTGTTGTAATATATAAACTAATACAGTAGCTCAACTGCAATATCTCCAGTTTACATGTTCAGTTCTCAGAGTCAGCTCAGCTTTTGGGATATAATAAGATTTATAGACCAGTGCGTATCTGAAAACTAGCAATGATGTAGGCCAAGAGTTGGACTGTGGTACTGTTGACCCATAAAAGTAAATTCTGTAATTTGAACATTTCACTTTAAAATAAACGTCCATTTTATTTTAAGCACGCTTTCATTTGTTAGTATTTCTACTTCCTGGGTTCTGTAAAACTTTCTTCATAATGAGGGGAGCTTTTAGAGAAACATGAAGACTCCTAGCTATACAATAAGAGGCAGTGGAGCATTAAAAGTTTCATCTTCCAACACTACAAAATAAAAAGGGTAACGTATGGAAAACACGGCAGCAAAACAAGTAGAAACCCCTCTGTAGTATATTTCTCATGGGCTCTCTGATCACCCCAAAATAAATAGTAATTAAAGGAGATTGAACCATATTCAACGCATAGCTCCTTCTCAAAAATACATTAATTTGCAATCTAAAAAAGCAAAAAACAAACAAGACAACAGATAAACTACTGCTACATTTAAAATGTTGAAATCCAGAAAGGAACATGTAGTCCACTTTCAGGTTACCCCTCTCAGTACTTTCATTTACACCTTTTCCGCCAGGCCTCCTGCTAGTCCAATTCCAAGGAGTCGTGACCAATTCCTGCACCACGAAGGTTGGTTCGGTAGACCCGGAGTTTCTGGGGGTCCACGTTTCTCTTGCGGTTGAAGTCTGCTTTGGGTGGAATCTGGGGACACCTGTCACCATGCAGAGCCTTAAAGAGGCTGGCTAGATTGGGTCCAATCTGATCCATTAAATTGTTTTTCACAGCAGTAGCTGTTTCTTCATCACAATCCAGTAGGCTGCCGAGCAGTTTGTTGTAATACCTGTATTGAGACAAAGGTTGGCACTTTAACAGATCTACGGACTCTTGAATGGTTAAATGGCTTGAATGAGCCAGGTACCGGTAGTTTAATACTAGATGCACTGGATTTCCACATTTGATTTTCTAGAAATAAAATCTCAGTAACCTTGACAACCTATGAGATTATGCTTCCATCCAACCTTTATTTAAGATCAACTGTGACAGAATCAGGTTGATTAAAAGCCCCCTATTATTTGTAACTAAGAGCACCCAAAAAGCTTTCCCCTAAAGACTGGATAATCTGTGATAAATTAACAAAAATCTGCTCCCTGAATCAGAATGCATTGTTCCACTCAATAAATATAGAGCGGCATTGTTTTTCAAATGTGAATTAGAAGTTACAAGAAGTAAAGAGGGGTCAAAGTTTTACAACTACAGGTAAGAAGATTTATGGCTAAAACAAACAGATTATTCCATACTTATGATGCTGTGGGTGACCAATGAATGAACAGCACCTGGGTAGTGAAGACAGCTATACCAATCATAACATTCTAAAAAAGAACTGATATTTCTCAGAAAGTGACAGCTTCTCAAGCCATTATCCAGTAAATGTTATTAAAGAGTGAGCAGAAAAGGAGAGGTAAGTAAACAAAGCACACCTCTGCTACACTTCAACGTCCAGGGCAGCTTCATTGCCTCCTGTGGTGTAACTTCCACGTAGCAGAACTCCTGCATGACCTCATGCACAAGGAACCTTGTGGTTTTACGTTATTTAACATTGAATTTTCTAGCTGTAACAGGACAACTAGGCATACAATAAAATTAAAAAGTAAAAACCACAGGGAGTTTAGAAACAAAATCCACAACCCATAGCTGAGTTTTAATCCGCTATCAGGCGTTGCAAAGATATTAACAACTGCAATTCTTCCACTTTAAATGCCTGCTTTTGGCAAACAGTGTGTCGTATCCTCTACAGCCTAGCATCATGGATTCCTTGGCTGCTTCTGGAGCCCCGGAAAATCTGCTTGAGACTCTGTTAAAAGGATTATGTGAAAAGGTCAGGAATTGTTTTGTAAGGTTTAAATGGAAGGATCCCAAAATGCAGCAGGTCGTTGGAGAAAGTCACCAACTGAAGTACAAATAGGGAATGAGCAGAGACACAGTCGGTATAGCCAAAGGTCTACACGGGCAGTACAGGATAACAAACGATATAACAAGAAGATGGTCAGATACCAGGTAATCAAAGAATGCAGGATAAGCACACTAGAGCGGAGACACACCACCTGCTTTTGACCACCTTCTACCCCTTAAGGACCAAACTTCTGGAATAAAAGGGAATTAATAAGGGGTTAAGAGAGTGCCTTCCTGGCGCATGCATGCCTAGGAAGGCCAGATTTTGCAGACTCAGTCCAGCCACCACACTTAGCTGGACAGATTTAGGACCTTGATGAGAATGCGACATCACATTTCTGAAGCAAGGAATCAGGCTTGCTACCAATTTGCGGCTTCAAATTGATAGGACTGATTCTCCTCAGTGGTGTACTCTGGGTCAGTGTCTCTGCAAGGAGAGAGGGAGACAATGTAAGCCCGGGAAAGTGTTGGAACCGGACAGGTTTCTTGATAGAGTGTGTATGGCATATAAAGATTATTTCACGTAGCAAGGAAAATATTGCCAGCTCTCTTTCATCCTCCTTAATGGATGGCAACATTTATCTTTCCATGCTGAAGGGCGCTAACTCTTTTTGCCATCAGCCACTATTTCACTTTTTAAAAAATAAGAGATATGTATATCTATCTATAACTATATACCCCTTACCCACAACTCACAAATACACGCAGTGACAAATATGTTTGTGAGAATGATAGCATGTAAATTTAAGCACTGATGCATGCAAATAGTAATAAAAATTGTATCATATATGTAATGTAAACAAGGTAATTAATGGTACTCATTTACTGTTGCCACAAATGATTTTATCTTAATTTCCAGTAAGCTTACCACCAATAATTTCATAAATACATCATTGTCTCGTTTAACAGTAACAAAGGGGTGATTGAATTGTTCAAGGCTTCTTTTGTAGGACAAATGGTTTAGTCACTGTATATACAGTGAATGTGACAGCAAAACCCATGTTTCAATAAATCAACTTGTCTGAGCTCATTGCACAACACTGAGATTATGTCACACAGCAATCCGACAAACATCAATGAATGATGCACAATAAGAAGGCGAACCAGATGTCTGGAAAATTATTTAATGTTGTGTTTTCTGGCATTATGTAAGATCTGTGTGCAATGTCTATGCTAAAATGCTTTGAAATCGTTTTGATGGGTCTAATCTGATACACCTGGCATTAGCTTGGAAACCCATGTCTTTATGGCAATGTTAGCTAGATAGTCCACTCTTGAATTGTAATATAAATTATAAGAACATTATATAAAACATTATGCTCCTCTCAGTGTCACAGAATTCTCTAAACTAACAAAAAACAGGCAAGTTCCCACCAGCGGTAGGGTCATGCAAACGGTAGTATGTGGACAGGTTTTGGGTACTAACTCGGGTTAAGAACAAGTAACTATGAATTTTATTCCCCCCCTATATTAACTAGGAAAAGAAGAACGCGGTTCTCACCTGTTTGAAAAGTGTTGGGGTAGATTTAGAACCTCAGTGATGGCTTCGGGATTATAACGGGCCACAATGCAGATATCCAGCTTGGTGTAACAATCCTCTTGAACTTCTGATATCAGCCTTTGCAAGCTGGAACACCTTCTAATGGCCATGAATATTTTAGCATTTATACCATTGACTATGCACTTCAGACTCTCCTTAACGAACAGCTTACCCTGTAAACAGAACATATTAGACCAGGTCACTATGCTTTCTATGAGCACAGATGTAACATGTCAAAATCAGCTGCCAATTGTATAACTTTTGTCATGGCACGTCACATGATATATCAGAACTAACACACTGTTTACATATATTCAGTCAATCTATAGATTTATATTCCATTGAAAATGTAGAGCAACTCAATGCTATACTTATACTGTTGCAAGCAATTAATTCAAATTGAGGTGGTAATTGACCTATCACAGTAGACCCACTCGTCTACACTGCCTCTTCTTGGCCTCAGCAATTATCAGGGAGGATTGGGTCAGCTGCCAGTGATAGGCTGAGAGCCGGACCATCACGAGACATATGCTTTCAAATGTTTTAACCCTACAAAGGTAAAAGTGCCCATGGACTCCAACTCCCATAAAGACGTAATTGAGATGAAATCATTAGAGGGGTGGAGTGACCTTTTTTGTCAGATTTTAATTAAAGGAACACTATAGTGCCAGGAAAACAAATGTGTATAGTGTAACGTGTATTGTGTTAAAAACATGTTTTAGGTGGCCAGTCCCACCTTTCCACCTTTAAAAAAGTATAACTTACCTTTATTCTAGCGCCGCGTGTGTCTCATCCTGGCTGGTTCTGTCCCCACTGCATCTCCTTGGCTGAGATCATCATAATTGATGATCTCAGCCAATCCAATGCTTTCCTACGAGACTAATGCACATGTGCGTCAAAAGACCATGTCGCGCCAATCAGCATCTCCTCATAGAGATGCACTGAATCTCTATGAGGAAGGATCAGCGTCTACATGCAATGTGTATGCTGCACATTGTGCAGCACTGATCCAGAAAGCACCTCTAGTGCCTGTCTGAGTGACTGTCACTAGGCAGCAATTCTTTAAAGAGGCTGTGTTACATTGCATGGACAGGCTACAGAAACCAAAACCATTATATTAAGTTGTAGTTGTTCTGGTGACCATAGTGTCCCTTTAATCTTAAAGGTAGCTACTGATTTTTTTTTAAGCGATCATGTCTTACTATTTTAAATGTCATGCTGGGCATGTCAGACAAAGCAAGTTAATTGGATTAACCTCTGCAGTACTGTATGCAAGGAGAATAGCGTTCTACTGAAGGAATAGCAGAGAGTATGTACAATTATACAGGATTTCTATGTACATGCCCAAGCATGCATGAGCAAGCCTGAGGCATCATGAGAATAGAAAGTCATCCACAATGTGGTAGTGCAGCAAATGCTGGGTGCCTTGTTTATTGAGCAAAAAATGATATCAACTTGTTTTTAACAATATTAGATTTAGGTAAATTAACATATTTGGTATTATTTTCAGGGGAATATTACAGAAGATAACCCATGCTCATATATTCAGAACCTTAGGTAGTAGCAAATTATTTTTTTAAGCTTGCTCCACTCAAAGTGGAATGAAGGCATAGATGAGGCAGGGTATCACAGAGCTCCTTATAATTGACATTTTTAATACACAGATCTTTGTGTGGATAGTCCTTCTCATATTGAACATACAATATACTGTATATGTGAAAAGCAAGGATGGCTGTACAAGGGTGGTGGACAAGGGGCTGGTTGGCTGGAGGGAGGTTGGATCATTAAAAATGAGACATTATTAGGACCGTGCGGCTGCAAACAGTCCAAACTGGTTTCTACTTGCTCGTGCGTACATAAGGCTGCCTGCAAGAGAACGTCCATCACCTTCGCACAGTGCGTGCTCACAATAGACATAATTTTTGCACAGTAGTCACATTAGTCTGTCTGGAACAGAGCACCAGGCTGACTAAGCCACATGTGCTGGTAGTATAAAGCGCGGCACATACAGATTGCTTGCACCATGACCACTTCTAAAAGCAGAAGCGTTAAGTCTGCAGGACTCATTGTAACCCCTCACCTAATGCACGTCGGACTGAGGAGAAAGGGGGCGATTGGGCGGGTTAGAAAAAACGGTACATCACCATTATAGTTAATAACAGTATTGTTTTAAATGTTGCTGCTAGAGCTAAGGCCATGATTAGAGTTGGCTTAGGGGTGGCATAGAGTTTAGCTGTTCTGCAACTGGACTGCAACTTCTATCAATCTCTGTCATGTTAATGCCCACAATCCTATGTTTGTCCCTACACCCTCCTAACCTTTAACATGCCCTTACCCAAAGCTCACGTAGTATGTGTACTGAATGGGTATACTGTTGTACCCAGTGTCATTATACAGCACATATAGCATGAAACCCACACTGTAACAAACCTAGTCATTCACAGTATACGGAGCACATCTTCAGATACCTTTTATTGATGGATCCCATAATGAATCTCACCTTAGTTAGAAAGTCACCCTACCTGAGTGTCAAACTTGGCAGCGCTGTACAGGAAAGATTTGCAGATATCATACAGTCCATCTGTGTCACAGGTTGTGTTTTCCAGACAAGCAAAGGCCCCACAGCCAACTTGCAGAGCTCCATTCAAACAGCGAATAACTTCCACTATAGAAAGAGTCAAGGAGAAGTCTTAGAATGGCTTTTTACCCCAGTATAGAGGGGTTAATAATATAGTGATCCGACAATGCCATGTGTATGGAGATCAGTGCTCATTTTGTTGACTAAATTTAAGTCAACAAATCTTTTTTAGATTTAGTCGAGTAAAACAATTCAGACGACTAAAATACGACTAAAACTTAAATGGTATTTTAGTCCAAAGACTATGACTAAAACTAAACTGAAATTTGCCACCAATATTAACACTGATGCAGATATATAAACTACACTACTTGATGAAAGTCAGCATGCTTACCAGCTCAATGCTGCTAGAACCCAGTGACCAACAGGCAGTAAAGATTCAGAAAGCATTGGAAAGATCTATAACATCAGCACCCCCCATAACCTCCCCCAAAATATCTGTTTAGGGCTCACTTTAATAAATGAGCAGGAGAAAGACAAAAGTGTCCATATAGAAATTCATTGTGCTCCAAACTTCATTTGGTTTCCATGGTTTTTACATTACTTTTAGAACCAAAATTGCAGTGCAGTGCCTCCAGTGGCTGTCAGTGTAAAAGTCACTGAAGTTTAAACCCTCAAGGTTAACATTGCGGTTTCTGTAAAACGTCAATTTTGTTGTTTTTTTTTTACCTTGAATGGTTAAAACGAAAGAACCACTGCACCAGGACCGGTTCATTGAGATGAAGTGACCTGATTGATATTAGTGGTAATATATCACCAGGTTATATAATGACAATGTTCCCATGACAGCCACACAGGACACAAGTAAGAACCAACAGGGATCCGCTGCTGAATCCAGTGAGCTGTGCCTGGCATGGTATTCCGATCAATACATATGTGAATTTAGAAGGTTAGTGTCTTACCAGCACCCCGTACAGGAGGCAGTAATACAACAGCACACTATGAGCACACTGAGCATTATATCACCAGGGATACTGCAACATGGATAAATTCATATGTTGGGGAAATGGTTAAAATACAGCTGAATAAAACAGGGATTCTGAATTTACAGGTATTTGTGTATATTGTCCTGTCTTTCCCCAACTGTACAGAATATGCAACACTGCTAGTAATCACAATATAATAATTCTAATACATACAAGTCACTAACAGAGTTGTATTAAGTTCTGACGTCACGGCTGACACCAACCAGTTAAAGGTTTAATGATGATACAGATTCACCCTTTTAGGGACAAAGGAATATAAATAAGGCCAGCATCACTTTGTTTTGATTTCAACAACCTTCCAGAGCGATGCTGACTACATAGACCAGGGATAGGCAACCTACAGCACTAGTGCCATGCACGGCACTCAAGGTGTCTTTGCACGGCACTCAAGGCTGCTAGAGCCAAACAGGCTCTGGCCTATCAGGAATCCCAGTAAAACTTAAAATAACTGCTAATACGAAAAGATGGTGAAGGACAATCCTCAATTTAAGCATTGCAGCACATAGAGAAAATGATCTCAGATCACTTCCTCCAAGTACTTGTGAATGGGAATCCACAACGTAGTAGAGCAGCCTGCAGCTGCTGTTGCAACTCCTGTCTTTGACCTGTACCAGGCCAGCCTGGTCCCCACTGGAACCCAGGGGAGCCAACCATACTGCTAGATATACACAGATATTGTGGATCAAACCAAGTGTTTACCTGAGTATCTGCTCCTTTCCAAATTGTTAAAATAAATGCATGCACGCTCTGGAGTAAATTACACTGAGACACAGGTATCAGGTTAATGAAAAACTTTGGAATGTTTACTCAGGGGGCGGCAAGGCCCTTATAAAGGCAAAAATATATAATATGCAAAATTTTAGATAACAGAGAGAATACATCTTTAATTGGTTAGGTGTTAAGTGTCTTATCTAATGCACATCCTACGAGGCGTGATGTCACCATCATCCCGGGATTTTACTCCGGATGTAGGCGCCATCTTGTTACACGAGGTAGTTAGTTGGTGGGAGGGGGTGCTCTAGCAGCCATTTTGAGTAGATATTGAATACAGGTATACACAGTAAATAGACATTTTACTATCACTAATTTACATTCATAACACAGAAATGAAGAATAACCCTCCCCTTATACAAATAATACGAACAGCCTACACACAAACATACACACAATCTGCACAAACATAACCCGCTAACAATCCACATACATGCACCCAACCCCACATGCAGCTTCTCACATGCAATACCCCAAACAGCCCACACACACACTACCAAACACACAATGTGACATATCCATCCACACACACACAATTCCACAAGCAGCCCTCATACACAGCCCACATTCATATGTATCATACACAATACCATAAACTACTAATGAACATATACAATATAATAGCTCAAATACGCACAAATACAACAATGCAAAGCAACTGCAGTAAAAATAACACAAGCATAATACGGCAGCATACACACCTCAATTTAAAAATATAGGACCGGCACGCAACGGAACATCACAATCCTATATCGGCACAGTGCTGCTAAAAGGTTGCCTACCCCTGACATAGACTGTGAAGCATATCAGGACTAGGTATATGGGCATGTTTTACAGTGATGAGGATAGAAAAGTCTCACATTTTTCTGATATGCTTGAAGCATCTCATGCATTGCAGGTAAAGGTTTGCCAGTGATACACTCCAGATTTTGCCTAGGAGTGTCAATGGAATAATCTAACCATTAATGAAAGTTATACCCTTCAGATTTAGCCTTACCAATACCACCCTAAAAGGATAACACATTTCATACCAAGAATGGAGCAGAGAGAAGACTAAAGGAGTAGTGGACTGAAAGTCTGGACTCCCAGCAGAGCCTATAGTATACAATGCAGGTGATTGCACAGCCTTTCTTCATTTTTCAGAAGTATTTCTAGTGAGAAATCTTAACAGAATACAAGTCACTTATATATTAAAATATATCTTTTAGGTGACATGGTGCAGACTGGGGAGAATCAGCTCATGCAGCATATCTTTAATCAGACATCTCAGTGCAACATCCCCTCAATAACTGGAGGATTTTCTAATGTTATATAAATGTCAGGACCTCTTTCCATTCCCCAGGTAACTCTAACCCTGTTAAAAAAAGACTGACTGACAGGCATCATTACTTCCTCTCTGCCTGTCCTATAACATGTATCTTCTCCAATCTCCATCTTTCAATCTGCCCAATTTACCTGAGTTGTGGGCTGCCACCCTGGCCTTCCTGGTGCTCAGGGAATCATTCTGCTCGGAGTCGGTTTCTGCACTCAGGGAGCCCACCAGGAGCAGGACAATGAGACAGCTCTTGTAGACCATTCTCTGTGTCTGACTGTTCACCAGGACCTTCTCTGCTGGGAGCTGGGTCTGGGCTCACTACATTTATACACATGACTTATCTGCAAAATGCATCAGCAGCCAATCAGGGCTCTCAGTCCACCAGCCAATCACCAGCAACACTCATTCATTAAAAAAAATGTGAAGCCCCCACCTGCAGGTTTCCCAGCAATTTAGACCACCTGACAGAGCACAGTGCCTTCCGATCAGTGTGTGAATAATGTCCCTTAGTGTGTGCTTGCCTTCCTGCATGTGTCTGACTTTGTCCTCAGTTTTCATCAGCTTTCACGATGACACCAATCAGCCTGAGATGGTTATTAATTCATTCAGAGTACCACATATTATGTTTCAAACAATGGGGGTCATATATAAAGAACAATTTGGGGGGGAAATTCTATAAGAGGGACAGTTACCATAGAAACGGAAGGGATGCTGCCGCTGACAATTCCACATTTCGAACTTTGTCCCATAACTCGTCTATATACATCACCCCTTATGTATAAATGGATTTGGGATGGGATGCTTTAGGGTTGATGTGACATTTTGCATTTAATTTACTTCATACGTTGGAGCAATATATTAAGGATTAACCCTTGAAATTGTTTAATAGTCAAAATAATTAACGTTTAGCTGATAAAAATCACTTCTCCTTCAATGACAAACCGTATAAAACACTGCGAAAAAAAATGAAAAGAAAACTATATTTCGTTTTAGCTCTGTGAAAAAAGTAAGCATAAGCTAGTTCTAATTTATTCATATATTTGCATAATTATGACATTTGCTAACAATTTTCTATTTCATTTAAAGTGCTAAACGCAAAAAATACAATTATATTCTAACCTCTTGTCCCCTCTCTGTATTAGTATATGAATCACATAGGGTTTTTTTAATGAGTTAAAATGTTATTTAATTTTCTATTTATCCACCAAGGTTATTTTTAAGTGGAAAGTATGTCAGCTTTTAATTCACAAGTTTTTGTTCAGCAAGTGGCAATGCGTTTTAGGGAGGTTTATCTAAACAAATATCACTGGCCACACATTTTAGTTTACACGAAGACCTTATACTAGGCTGAAAATGTTTTTTGACAGCAAAAAATAGAGAAAATACATTTGATCTGGGGCTCTGCTGAAACATTCTTTCTTTTCTGCAAATGTAACATGCCTGAATAAGTACAATATGATATATGGAGCCTATTTAAGAAATATGAATATATTCAACAAAGAGAGCCTCTTAGTGCAGCGCTTAACTGAGTGACCAGGAGTGATATGAGAGGAGACATCATAGAGCAGCACTAGGCAAACCCCAGGTACCAAGTCAAACTATTACTAAATGTGCTCTGGTATAATAACCTCTACAGCTCTCTGTAGTTGTTATGGTACTTGGAACGTCGCTTTAACTGAGAAAAAAAAAAAGAGTTCAAATCTTCACATAGGATAAATTGAGCTGCTCTTTAAAGTAATAGCAGCCATACTGTGTGGCTTGGTCCTGGTTGGGTTGCACCGTAGCTCAGAGTGATGGGATTGAGTGCAGTTCCTTATTGCTTTTTAGATACTGTGTGGCAATGGCAAATTTCTGTTTAGTGAACCAGGCTGTTTTTTATTGTCAGCCGGACCACAGCCTATGCAAGTGGGTTAAGAAGCCTTGTTTTATTCTGGTTAATTGACAGTTCTGGTGAGCTGTCTTTAGTGGCACCATTTTCTTCTTTTTAAATGACCACTATAGCCCAGAAATTATACTGGGCTATAATAATAGAAAGTATGGCAGTGAGTAAGTCAGTCAGTCAGTCTGTCTATCTCTATTTGTATTCAAGGAATATGATGAAGAGGTATAGCATTTTAAAATGCCAAAGCATCATGGAAGCTGTAGTTTTAAATCATATGGGGATCTACCTTTTGGGATCCCCTGCCTTAACATGTTAATGTATTGCTACCTTGTAAATTTTCATCACCTCCAGCCAAGGCTTTATTATCTTGGATATGAGCCTGTGGAAACTACTCAATAAAAATTCCATCTATTTAACACTTTCTTTCTAATGGAGCAGAACTTGTACAGATTTAGATAAAACAATTCATTATGCAATTTATAGCTCAGTCAAAGAGGTCGAAGCAAATTCATTAGTGATTGTATTGAGGGCTAACAAGAAAATGATTTCATTTATCTTAGGGTGTTCTTATACTTCTGTTTACAAAACGCAATCACTTGTGTATCTACTGGCTAAAAATGTGAGCTATGGTGAACTGAAAAACAGAATTAAATGTGAGAAAAAGTGGAGATTACACATGGCTCTAGAGAGTCCTTCTCTGCTATTTGGCTGTACGTTTTTCCAATTTGTTTTTCAATGCCACATAACACACTGTCTAGTGACTCTAGTGAGTACATCCTAATTTTAATATAATTATTGCACAGTTAATATCACTGTATTCATTAGACATGGCTCTACAAATCAAAGCATGTTTACTGAAAACAGCCCTGAATTGTGCAGTTTTCTAAATCCATGATTAAAACAGAAATGTAGGAAATATAATGGTGGCATCGGAGTTAGTGTCAGAGGCCGAGATTGGGAGTTGGGAAGGTAAAATAGGAGGGGCTGGGTAGCAGTAAGAGGGTAGGACACTAAGATGGGAAAATGGAAGTGTAGTTGAGGTTGCTAAAATAACATTGAAATGTAATAGAAGGGATAGAAACATAGAATGTAACGGCAGATAAGAACCATTCAGCCTATCTAGTCTGTCCAATTTTCTAAATACTTTCATTAGTCCATGGCCTTATCTTATAGTTAGGATAGACTTATGCCTATCCCACACATGCTTAAAGGGACACTCCAGGCACCCAGATCACTTCTGCCCATTGGAGTGGTCTGGGTGCCAACTCCCACTACTCTTAACCCTGCAAGTGTAATTATTGCAGTTTTTTTATAAACTATAATAATTACCTTGCAGGGTTAACTCCACCTCTAGTGGCTGTCTACTAGAAAGCCACTAGAGGGCCCTTCCTGGATTATAGCACAGAAAATCTGTGCTAGTGCGTCGCTAGATGTCCTCACGCTGTGTGAGGACCTCCAGCGTCGCTCAATTCCCCAGAGGAAAGCATTGAAAAGCATTTTTAATGCTTTCCTATGGGGAGCTCTAATGCGCAGGTGCGGCATTGCCATGCATGCGCATTAGGTCTCCCCGGCCGGTGGGTCGGGATCAGTCTTGCCCACCAGCCGACGTAATGCAGAGGAGGAGCGGCGGTGGAGGAAGAAGCAGCGACGTGGGACATGTCGCTGCCTCTGGTACGTCACTGAAGGGGTTTTCACCCCATTCAGCAATCGGAGATTGGGAGGTGGGGGGGAGAGGGGACCTACAGTGCCAGGAATTGCAGTGCCAGGATTGTTTTCCTGGCACTGGAGTTTCCCTTTAAACTCACTCACTGTGTTAACCTCTACCACTTCAGCTGGAAGGATATTCCACGCATCCACTACCCTCTCAGTAAAGTAATACTTCCTGATATTATTTTTAAACCTTTGCCTCTCTAATTTAAAGGACCACTCTAGGCACCCAGACCACTTCAGCTTAATGAAGTGGTCTGGGTGCCAGGTCCCTCTAGGGTTAACCCCTTTTTTTTAATAAACATAGCAGTTTCAGAGAAACTGCTATGTTTATAAATGGGTTAATCCAGCCTCTAAAGCCTCTAGTGGCTGTCTCATTGACAGATGCTAGAGGCGTTTGCTTGCTTCTCACTGTGAAAATCACAGTGAGAAGACGCCAGCGTCCATAGGAAAGCATTATGAATGCTTTCCTATGAGACTGGCTGAATGCGCGCGCAGCTCTTGCCGTGCATGCGCATTCAGCCGAAGAGGAGGAGGAGAGCTCCCCGTCTGGCGCTGGAAAAAAAGGTAAGATTTAACCCTTTCCTCCCCATCCAGCCCGGCGGGAGGGGGTCCCTGAAGGTGGGGGCACCCTCAGGGCACTATAGTGCCAGGAAAACAAGTATATCTTCCTGGCACTATAGTGGTCCTTTAAGACTATGTCCTCTTGTGGTAGCTTTTCTTCTTGTAAATATAGTCTCCCCTTTTACTGTGTTGATACCCTTTATGTATTTACATTTTTTTGTATTAAGTTTCTATCATATCCCCCTGTCTCGTCTTTCCTCCAAGCTATACATGTTAAGTTCCTAGAAAAGGAGAAACGAAACAAGGCATGTATGATGGAAAGCCAAAATGGGGCAGTGAGTCATTGGAACTATGAAAGTGCCACAGGTTAGCCGGAATTTGAAAATATTCTCACTAAATTTTCAAATTCAAGCTAAAAATTGGCAAACTGGAAATATTCTCAGCTATGCTTTAAGTTCATCTACTTTGGCCTTAAAATTTAAATTCACTTTAATTTCCCTTTGAATTCTCACTTTAGTGAATAATGATGATAGATTTAATGGTTATAGAAAAGAGAAATTTTAATACATGCTGGCTCGACAGGGAAAACTACAATGGGACGGGGAATGGACAATGTTAAAAAGGAACGGAGATTAGTTTGGGAGATGCAGATTGTAAAGGTAAACTGGTTAGTAGGAGGAAAGGGAACTCCTAATATAGAATTATCCTCACTTGAAAGTGATGAGAGTTGCAGTTCACAGATTGTTTTGAAGGCAGCACATAGTGTACGCCAGCAAATAACATTAAGAGCTTGAGACTATACCCTTTTTGGCGTTTTCCTCAGAAAATATTTGAGTAATCCACAGCTATGTCATTTCTGTCTCATGCTTTCAGCCCAAAGGAATACTTTCATAATTAGCCTGCAATTTAAGACAATAAACACTTGTCCCTTTTATAGGTTATACCAACAGATATGACTTTGAACTGGTGGTTTAGTGATATAATTTGCTTTAAAGTTATTAATTCTGCATAGAACCCAACCTAAGACCTCCCATGAGCATAGATGAAGTATATTTCATATTTACTTTAGATTTAGCCTCTTAAAGGCACACTATAGCGTTAGGAATACAAACATGTATTCCAAATGCTATTGTATCTTGTTAACTATCTAAGTGTCCCCCTCCTATCTAGGTGCCGTCCCCCCCTGTCTGGTTCCTTTGGGTCACTTAACCCCTTAAGGACCAAACTTCTGGAATAAAAGGGAATCATGACATGTCACACATGTCATGTGTCCTTAAGGGGTTAAAGGAACACTATAATGTCAGGAATACAAATGTTTATTCCTGACACTTTAGATCTAAATAGCTGTTTAGTCCCCTGACCCCACCTTACCTCCAGTTAAAAATGTAGTTTACTCATCTTTTTCCAGCACTGCATAAGTGCTGGTGGTGGCTGGCCCCTCCCATGATCCCCCCTTGGCTGATATCAGACTTGACGTTGTCAGCCAATCGCATTGGGAGGCTATTGCGGATGTGAGGCAAAACGTCGCTCTGTGCCAGTCAGCATCTCTTCAGAGATGCATTGGCTGCAGAGCCTGGAGACGCTAAACGTCTGACACAGGAAGCACCTCTAGTGGCATCCACAAGACTGCCACTAGAAGTGTCACTGTGGGAGAGATAATGATTCCCTCAATTTTCCACTATATTCTTTCTCAATCCTATGGTGTGAAATGGAAAGGAGATTATTTTGTAAAAGTGGCGTCCCAAGGACCACATAATAACCAGACCCTGTGGGGAAAGGGTTTGAAAACAAAAAAACAACACACCTTTTGTAGTTGAAAGGTTATATGAGAAATAACTAGGTAAGGATATGACATCTAAACGCTAGTCTGATTGGCTGGGCAATTCCTGGAAATCACATTGTTCCATTTATTTCCAAACACATTTGTTCTTGTCCTGTCTGGAGCCAATTCAATTTGTTCTGAAGATGAGCCTTCAATTTAAGCTGGTTTAAACTGGACTAAAGCTAGAGATTTACATCTGTATTCAAGTCACAAAATTGTCCCAAATTGCTCACAATATTTATTGCTGAATTAGCTGATAATTTAACCTTTGGTAAAGGACCCTCTGGGGGTTTATTTATATCTATATATGTATATTTATGGGTTGTGTCTCAGGAGGATATGTCAGTACTGTATGTGTGTGTATATTTTGGTACACCTGTCACTATTTCTGCCTTTTATAACATTTTAAAAAGTGGCTTTATCATCTATGTTCCAATATGATTAACTTGTCACCAGTTAGCATAGGTTGCATTGTACTGCACTGTGAAATATGCTAGCATTTTATGAATCATTATTAAATTAACATTATATTTCCAATTGTCCACAAAACGTGTAATACAGTTTAAGTAATATTGCAGGTAGTTGGGTTAACAGACCAGCCATCCAAAGTCCCTTGTTAAAGGTAACTATAAAGAGAGAGATAATTAAAGCCACTTTTGAAGACCTAGGGCTAGGTCTAGTAACCAGGCATGAGCATAGTGTAGCAAGAAAAATGTATTACAAGATAGACTTGTGCTTTGCGCAACAATCCAGTTGGGCTTAATTGATTTGTCCAAAAATAAATTTGGTACAAAATTTATGTAGGTGTAGTGTTTAGGTCAGATGAATTTCAGTCATATAGATGCTTCGGGAAAACTGAAAAACCGCGAAAATGGGGCCAATGAGTTTACTGATAAATATATACATGGTGAAAATGTGTAGTATATTCTTTGCAGTACACAGATCGGTATATTTTCCGACAGTTTGGTTTAAATACATCTTGCTGAAGTGCTTAATGTGCAAACGGCCTGTCTCCTAGATGAAGTGCCTTTTTAAAGTGAATTCAGCACGTTTATAAATTACCCTAGTTAGAGCATGATGCATGTGATTGACCCTCACTTGCTTTGACTTCTTGCTCAAAGCGGAAGTGCGGTAGAAAGCTATACTAACTGTAGGGAGCTTGTTGAAAGTGTGTCTGCAATTAGCTGTGTCTCTACAGTGTGCACATAGGGCCATTCCCCAGCTGTCACACTAAGGTGGGCAGACATGAGCACTCAGTTTGTTGTGCATATAATTCTCAGTGAGCTTTAATATAGCTCATTGATAAGCATGTGATTGGACATTCTAGCTCACTGATGCAAGATTTATCTGCAATGCTCCTCAATAAGAAGCCTCTGATTGGACAATGTCCAGCACTGACAAGAAATTCTGAAGACAAAGGAGAACACGTACAATAGCTGCAGAAATGAGCTGTGCAGCAATTATAAGCTAGATGTTCCCTACTCACCAAAACTATTCAATAAATAAAATACATGAGCGTTTTCTTTGTGGTGTATATTTACTAAATAATCTGTATTGGAGACAGGGAGTTGCATCAAAATAAAACAGGTGCTACTAAGGTACAAAACATTGAGAGACATTCTATGGGTTTCCATGGTGATGGCTTATTATTTAGTACTTTCCCCCAAAACTGTACCCGTTTTGCCTTGATAAATCTTCTCCTGCTATTTTAAGACAGATTTTTTGTTTTTGTCATAAATAATGGAACACATCTCTTAGAGAGAGTTGCGTGGCAAGGAACAAAGTTACACAGTGGGGTTGCGGGCGCTGCTAGGCGGAGTACAATAAAATGACACAGAATGTAAGGGTAGGGGTAGAAAAGTAGGTTCGTTGAATTGTATTCACTGAAGACTTAGTGGGGTTTTTTTGTTTTGTTTTTTAATGACAGTTGCAGGTGAATAATCATGGTGTAGGGAGGGGGAGCTAGAGTGAATCTAAAAACAGCATCATCATTATCATTCAGTATTCTGTGGGATGATTTAAAGGTAACCCTGCAGCTATCACCCCATGTTCACATACTGGCCAATGAGATTCTAAATAGGTAATAAAATCCTATATTGTATTCATACTGCGCCAATCCAGCATTATTACGCACGTGAATGTGGTTGTTGGGAGAAAAAAACAAAACACAATGTTTTCATTCATGGATATAGGCAGGCGGACCTATTTATGCTGCAATGATATAATACACAGACGCCATTAGTGGGCAGCCTAATTAACCCCTGTTTTATCATTCTGATCAGGGTCACTGGCTACACATGATGTCATGGTTTCTGTTACCTGTTAATACAGTTTATTTATCCCCCAAAGAATGGCTAAATGACAGAAGAAAAATGGGGGGTGGGGGAGGGGGTGAAAAAACAAAACAAAAACAGGCCACCAGTTCCAAAGGATGCCGCATACCCTATCCCTTAAGTCACAATCTTCTGGTGAATCACTCAGGTCACACACCCCGTTAGAATCACTCAGTGAGGAAACACAATGACACATCTCATGCAGCATCCTGTATACGTGAGTGGAGGCTACGTTTATGTCTCACATGCCCTTAGGCAGAGACTTTCCATATCCATTCTCACAGGTCAGATTTAATTCAAACTTAATGACGAGTGGGATATTGAAAAGAATTACTGTCATGTAGAATTGAAGATTTCACTCCTATATGTCCATGGTAATACAAGGCATTGGCTCAATTCGCTCAGAGTGTTAAAAGGGTCTCTGAGTCCCACATAAATCTACTACTAATTTCATCTGTAAATCGTGCTAACAGAACAGTATGTAGATGTATTTGTGCTCAGATATTTTAGTTAAATAGTAACTAATATTGTAATATTTATATTAAAATATCTGTTTTGTCCTCAGTTCCGAGTCATACAGAACAAAGTTTTAAAGTTAATGGGACATTCCAGTCACCCAAAAAAACTTAATCTAAATGAAGTTGTTATGGTGCCTGGAGGCCACTGGAGGCACTCCTCTCCTACTTTAAGGGGTTAAACCTTGAGTGGTTTAACCCCAAAGTTGCCTCCAGTGGTGATCTCGACTCCCCTTCAGTTGGCATCCGGCTTCTGAATTTTCAGATTCGGGAAGCTCACAGTTCCGTCAGTGGTGTCTTTTATTGGCTGTAAGCGTTCACAAAAGTAAGACACCGGATGCCACCAGCGGGGGTGGGAGTGTAGAACACTGGAGGCAACTTTAGAAAATGGTTTAAGCCCTTAAAGTAATAGTGCCTCCCAGGACCTCACTACACCATAACTTTATTTAGATGAAGTTGTTTTAGTGCCTGGAGTGTCCATTTAAATACGCATGCACCTTACCTAGCACCTCTTTAATCTGTTTCGCAGTCATGGCCAGGCACGTCAGAAGTATACCGAGGAACTCTTTAACATAACTGACTCAGAGTTTCTTTTAAAGGGGAACTATCATATCCCAGGATGTTTTTATATTATGTTTACTCATCCTCTATATTTAACAGATATATGTACGCTGACATCAAATTCTAATTTTTTAAATATAATTTAAAAGATTCATGTGAAAAATAGTTATATGATTAAAGTTGTAGTTATATTCATTCAAGACAATTGACGATTCCTCTTTAAAATGTCATTCTTTTTACAGAGAGATACTTTGAAAACAGCATGTATGAAACAGCACACATTTGATAGAATCAAGCCAGTGCTTCAAAATATGAGGTGAGGGAGTAACTAGAGTGTGTCCACTGAGAAGAGATAACAAGAGAAGGTTAAGAACTGTGAGAGAGTAATGAGCGTTTGTTTAATATAAAGCCTCCAGGAGGTCCCCCCTTCAGGTAAGTAGTGACTGTCCTGTGGACTGTTAGGTAAATGCTACTCAATAAAGTCCCTAGGTCACAGAGAGAATGTCCCAAGCTTGTTGGATTTAGCCGATGTATGTAGCATCTCACCTAGCTGCATGATGTGTAGGCTCAGGATATTAAAGAAACGGCTCTGCTGCCCTCCACTCAGCCTGGGAACTAAGCCCCTCCAGTAAGCTGGTGGACATGACTTCCATCAGTGATTCCTACTCTGCCCACTAGGAGTCACATGCACAATACAGTTGTAGTTGAACAGCAACACATGCTCTACAGAGATCGGTGGAGCATGCGGCGTACGCTATCTTGGGTGTGGTGTAGTGCCTGCAATAATGCCGGGCGGCCTCAGTGTATCGTGGAGGAAGCCATGACCGCGATCACCCCAACCGGTCCAAAGGGTGGGGAACGGGGCACCAAGCAGCCGTGCGGACAGGAGCAGAGATCGTCCACTTCTCCACCCTTCCAGGCACAAAAGGCCAGCTCTCGGCTCTCCATCGGCATGGACACCGTGAGACATCAGACACGCTCTGGTACTTCCCCACTGGTCTTAGGGATATTTTGGGGGCAAGTTGAGATGTTGGGTATAAACTGCAGGATTATGGCAATTTAGCAGGTTAAGCACTGGATCTCAATCTGGATAGCTCTGGCAGCCATGGCCGCCAGGCCCCGCCTCTCCACCAGTCCTCATTTTAACTCTGACTTCATGGTAGTTATTGAGCTCTTTTACAGTATTTCCCTAGAGATAAGCCATATATAGATAATGCATTAACATAAATATGTAAAAACAAACCAAACCAAACAAATTAAATAAAAAGACATCTTTGAAGTTCCTGCAGTTGCACCAAATCCACAGGTGTTTGCAGCTAACTCTCGCTCTGCCAATCCTGATGCTGTCACTATTTTTGTTTCAAAAATTTTTGTTCAAGTGATACAAGGGAACAATATAAAAGCATTGTAACAGCCGTAAATATGGCTATAGTGCAGTAGCGTCAGAATTGGTCATCTTAATCTTAATTTATAACGATTTTACACATTAGAAGTAATGTAGCAACGTGCGTGGCATGGCATTCTGCCCATAACAACGTAATGGACATCAATTAAACATACAAAATGATTAGCTTTTGCATCTTGCGCATTTTATGGACTTTGCTTATTTTTTTAATGTTATAAAGGAAAGTTATTAAGCTTTACTGTCATATTAATATTTAAAAAAAAAAAAAACATTGAAAAAGGTATGGGGAAACTTATTAATGGAAAAAAAAAAAGAATTACCAAGAAATGTCTAGGTTTAGACTTCTTACTGAAATACATAGGTGGACCATACCTGCCAGATTCTATTGTGTAGAATTCTATTCGATATATTATTGCGTAGTCTGGCTGTTAGCTCCTTCATTGACAGAATATATATATGTTTGTTAAGGAGATGCCCTGTGGAAGATGTCACCAACCTTCACTCATTTTCAATGCATATGTACGCATCAGAACATATTTAACTTACAAGGTTAAGGACATCTCTGTTTAGTATTATTTCAGTTGGTTTGACATTTAAACACCACCAGTTTTTGTTTAGGTAAAGTCTCAAAACGGATCACAACAGCCTGAAGACATTGCAAGTTGAGCATTCCCGTGGACCTCTGACCAGACAGCAAAACCAATTCTGGATAGAAATCCGGTCCAAGGACATAGCATCTAATTATTAGACTCCTTGTGACCATCTGTGGAATTGCGTAAAATGTGTACATTTTTTCAAATGAGAGCATCAAAATTATAAATGTCTATCTTGCTGGCCTGCTTCTGGTCATAAGTGTACAACAGATGAAGGCAAAGGAATGGCACATGTGTACTTCTATCTATATTTCCATATTATAAGGAGATACCCCACAATTATTATTTATATAGCACCGACAAATTCTGCAGTGCTGTACAACGTAATTGTACACCCAGGAACAGTGGGGTTACGGGCGCTACTAGAGGGAGTGCAATAAAGTGACACAAAATGTAAGGGTAGGGGTAGAAAAGTAGGTTCGTTGAATTGTATTCACTAAAGACTTAGTGTTTTTTTGAATGACAGTTGCAGGTGAAGAATCAGGGTGTAGGGAGGGGGAGCTAGTAACAATTTAGTTGATACGTTTTCCAGAAGAAGTGAGTTTTCAATGATATTTTGAAGGCGTGGAGACTGCTCTCTGCTGTTTTATTACATCATAAGGAGAATTTGCATTGACAGCAAAAATGGCCGATTTCCCAATCAATCTAATCATTTCCTTTTTTTCCACAAAGGAAGTGCTGTACATTTTTCATGCGCTATTCCTGCACAGCAGTGGTTCGGTTGCCGGCTAGATGGGCATTTAGAATGCATGGAAAAAAAAAATGACACAGCAATTTAACAGCAGACACTGAGCATCTTATGGTATCTTTATGAGTAGCTTCACAAATGTTATTTTTCGTGATTGAAAGGATTTGTGGCCATGCATTATTTATTTAGTAAAAGCTGAGCTAGCTCCTATATCATATAGCCAATTTAAAAAAAAAAAGAAAAAAAAAAAAAGTAAATGACCGCAACTTTAATTTCCCTCTCTATCTGATTTCTGGCATTTTATTTAGTAAAATAAAAGTAATTCTGAGACAGGATGTGACTACCTGGAAGGTACGAGGAGAAATAGCCCAAGGACTAAAGTGGGGTGGGTGTCAATAATTCCTACATGACAAGGAAAGGGTGTGCTTCCTTCTACTCTGTTGCTGACTACATCCTTTGACATAATTGTCCCCAAACAACTACGTAATTGTCTCCCTAAAAACATTTCCTTAAAAGAAATCTCACCCTACTGTTAAAGAGAAACTTGTCAGCATTGCAACCATGGTTCTTTTTGGACATTCTATTATTATTATTTTTTATTTTTTTTATAATGAAATGTTAGAAGACATCATACCCAAAGTGTTATGATTAATATATTCTATGAGTAATATCCCCATCTGTTAAATATTACAAATCCTACATTTTGAACCTTATAAATACATTGGATATATTTAGAAACACCTTTGTTCAAATATAGTAGCTCACTTTCATTCCTATTGTATGACACCAATAAAGTTGTACCACAGATGCATGTTAAAGCATCTCTTGGAGGGCTGGTGTACATTGGTTAAGTGTTATCACTATGCATTGTAGACAGGGCTTAAATTTCAAAGTCCTATGCTTCTAGCCAGGCCTTAAAAGTTACCCTCCGCTGCAAGCCATCGTGTACTCACCAGAGGTGAATTTATACTCACTATGGATACATTTTCACTTGCCAATGGTGAGTGGAAACTTTGAGAGCTGGCATAGAATGTTATTTTCTGAAGCATTCAGATGATTAAACCTTACACCAATATAAAATGGTGCTGACATTACTATTTGCTGATCATTTTAAATGCGCATTGTTTCAAGCACCAATGTGTAGTCACAGAGCAATATGGTAGGTGCAGGCTGCCCAATCGTCTGTACCACTCAAACAACAGCTAGCTGCATTCTGTCTTTTTTATTTTTAAAATCTTCATTTTAGCTCAGTTTCTTCCCTTTTTGCCTACACTCCCTGATCATATAACTCGTATATTCCCAGCTTCTGCACTCAAGAGAAAATTATCCTTCTCTCATTTTTATATCAGCTTGCCTCAATCCAAATTATCTTACCCTTTCTAATGCTCCTTTTTCTTATCGCCAGTTCTTGCTAGGACTATCTATAATTCCCCAGCCAGCTCACCAAATTAATTATCATCTCCCTCTACATATAAGCTCTCTTCCTAAAAAGTACATTATTCCTCTATAACATCATACCAACTTTTCAAATGGACAAATAGGGAAACTTTAGGGGTGTGAGTGGGGGAATGGCCAGGGGCGGGACTGTTCTGAGAAATAATAGGTGACTTTCAAATAAACATGTTTGTAATTTAGCACGACTTATTTATAAAGACTAATTCCTAAACACATTTATTGCAGTTTAAAGACACATTACTGAGAGTATTATTGTGGTGGAGCTCTGTTATACATTCGGACACACTGTATAAATAAGATACATTGTTCTAAATTACAAAATTTTATGTATTTTACCACACACCCACTTGCGCCCCTAAAATTAAAGTGTCTGTGACAGATCACCTGGCCACTTAGGACTTGTACCCTGAATGTGACTTGCTGAGGCATGGCATGCCTAACCTGGAGCATCCAACAAATCACCTGGAACTCTTAATTGGTTGCTATTGTCTAGTAAAACTTTGCTTTTGGTCCCAGGACTACCAAATAGGGCACTATTTGGAGGGATGACTGAAAAGGTGGTGAGGCATCAAACAATCATTACCAAGGACTTGAGGGAGCTCAATGCAACAATGGAAAGCACCATCGTTGAAAGAAACCGCGATTTTCCACCCAGCACCATGGAACTCTGCGCTGGATCTGAGGATGCTTGCGGCTCAGTCAAAATTTAACTGTCACGGTTTCCGGAACCAGACACACTGACAGATCACAGACAAAGAAATCTCAGAGTGGCCGGGCTATGCAAAATAAAGAGAAGTCAGAGTACAAGCCAAAGTCGGAGGGACACAGAGAAACAGAATAACGATAAGACGAGCCAAGGTCAAGGATCAGAGAAAGCAGGATAAACGGTAAGACAAGCTGAAATTCGGTAACCAACAATCAGACAGACTAGACGTGCTATTGGGCTACCAAAATACCACAACAGGGCAACAAGGCACAGAAGAGGTAAGTTTAAATATGCTTAGGGTAATTCTGATTGACTAGTATCCACTTAGAATTAATTATAACACAGTATTTGATCCTTCCACATCATCAATGTGCACAGAGTCAGGTGGCTGACTCGGGCGCATATTTAAGCATGCTGCATGAGAACGTGCAGCATTAGGAAGAATGCAGACGGGACCTGTGGTCACTGAAACAGCTGTGAGCGGGCACTAGAAGCCGCCGCTCGGGGTGAGTGAGCACAGGCAGGGGGCCTGACATTAACAATCAGACTATTGGGGCTAGGCATCCCCAATATGAGAGCTAGACAGAAAGGGCATTCTGGGGCAAGCTATCTGGGAGTGGCACTTGTTTGGGGATGCGGGCCCAGAAATCCAGTTTTTAATATAAAAAGTGTTTAAGTGTTTGGCCGCTAATAAAATTATCTGGTTAGTTATATACACCTAGGCACCAGGTATGTTACAATACCTGTTGTTCTCCCGGTGACCTCCTATTGAGGACCCAGTTATGAAAGAGTGACATTAATTTCAATAAACAGTTCTTCATCAGCCTACACGAAGTCTTGGCTATTATTTGGGTGAGCCTGCTAGAACAGCTGTAACCACTTGGGCTATAATCACTAAGGGTGAAAGGGATTCCTTGGTGGCTACACTCGGGTTCCCTGTGAGTAGGCAGTCACAATGTCCCTCTTTGTCCATTTAAAATGTGGGGAGATATGTGGTAGCAAAATGTTATTTTAAGATGAAGATTATAACATTTACAATTGAATGTTCATGAATTTTATGGATTTAAATAATTAATAGTATTAAATATACTGAAGTCACCATATACTGAAGTCACCATATTTATTGCTGCAAGAAAATGTAAAAATTCACAGAGCAAACATCTCCCTGGATGGGAAAAAAATAATGCTAATGGCTAAATATTTTTTAGAGCAAAGTGCTAACTAATTCTGCAGTACTGTGCAATGGGAAAACAAAACAAATCAAATAAATAAATGGTGACAAACCGGCTAACGTGAACAGGAACAAGAGGACTGTTCTCACAGAAGCATACAATCTAGAGGAAATCAGTTATTAAGTGTTTTAGCAGTTGTGATTTGAATCACAACATATATTCTATGACATGATGGTACAATAATTGAGGACATCTCCCACTGACCGGTTTTAGTACTGACCTGATAAACACAGGTACAGCACACTCCTTACAGTATTTGTCAGTTCTCATCATATTGCCAGTGTGAGCTGAGCATTGCCAGGGACACTAATCTCTCCAGCCTTAGGGCAACGTTGAATGGCTCTTGTCACTGATAGCATGACAGCAATTGCAGGATGATTGTGTTAGGTGGGATCGAAATGTTCTTTGGAGAAAGTTGCTTACTTGGGTGTATTCTGCAGGTTTAATGGATAGGGACAATAATAAGCGACGGTACAAACAATACAGATTGCAGAAACACAGGAAGCAGAACTGATAACATACCAGGTGGAGAGCTTGTAGAGTGTCCCTTTAATTGTTCTTTACTTGCTTTGCGAGATGGTGTGCCAAGAGAGGTCCACTCACGCTTCATGAAAGCGGCGGTCTTTTAACACAATCCATGCACAAATGTTGATAACTCACATCTGGATTAAAACTCCACCGGACTCAAGAAGTACCAAATTAGGCTGCTATATCCGTGCATCCTCTTACACCTACCTCACAGAATGAGTGGGAGACAGTGTAGAAAGCGTTACATAAAATGTAGCACTTATGGTGTCACTATACAGAAACTTCTTTGAGGAAATGTGTTAAAGATTTAACTTGATGACCTGAGTTCACAGTCAATGGCAGTGCCGATTTAAAGATTAAATGGGAATCACTACTTCCTTGTAATGCACACCACTGAATAAAAACACTGAAAAATCACACACACACATATATATATATATTTTTTTTCATAAAATGCTCTATTTTCTTTCAATTTTATATTAAACATTTAGCATTTAGTCCCAGGCCTAACATTGGAAATGTTTGTCATTTTTCACTTTTCCTCTTCTCTCTATGGTAGCATGCTAACTGCCAGGTGCAAATGGCGAAGCTTAAAACAATGATTGACAGGGTAAAGAGATGCGAATTTCTGCATGTAATTGTATTTTTCATACCTCACAAGTATAAACTTGTTGACATTCCTGGTAAGTGACAGTCCCCTTTAATATTATTTTCCTCAAACAAAGCTATTGTAAGGTAAGCTCTAATTTAAGTACCTGCCATGCTCATTTGCATAATTAATTATATATTCATGACATTACAAGACACAGCATTGCTTCAAAGTAGATAGGATCTGCCCACTTCTGTGTCATAAACTCAAGGCCGGCATACCCCAATACACAAGTAATCTAGGTGAAATGGATCAGGCAACCAGGAGTCCCTCACAAAGCAGATTTAATGGAGCTTAGTGTATTATTACAATACAAGCACTGCTCAGACAGCCTCAAATACCAGCTGTGCCGGTAAAATACTGGTCAGGTGTCAATCCTACTTTAATTACAAATTGAAGATAGAGGTTTTTCTGCGTGGAGGTGGCATGTTGAACTTTCATCAAATTCTCAGTTAAAAAAGGCTACAGAGCCCTTCACCCCGTTGACACTGACAGGGGCGTACCTAAAGCATTTGGCACCCGGGGCGGGTCCTATTTTTGGCACCCCCCCTTGCTCCCCCCCCCCTCAACTTTAAATATAAAAACAACTAAAAAATGTTTTAATGTATTTAGCACTAAGCAGTGTTCGTGTTTTTGAATGTATGCATGTTTTTGTATGGAGTATATGTGAGTGAATGTAGCGGTGTGTTTGTATGTAGTGTTGGCATTTGAATGCAAGCATGCATTTGTGTGTTGTGTGGTATTTGAATGCAGTGGTGTGGTTATATATAATGGTGGGGTTTGTATGTAGTGTTGACGCTGAAATACAAGAGTGTATTTGTGTGTAGTGTTGGCGAGATTTTTATATGTCTGCACATTTACACATACACGGACATACACACACAAACACAGTCACACACAGATACACATGCAGACATCGTGGTGACTCTAGGAACAATATATATGGGGGGTCACATAAGATACCACAGTCAAAACAGGAGGGGGAGGTGGAGCAGTAAAACTTCTCACTAGGGGATGGGGTAATATGCTGCCATTGGCTGTCTGATGCCAGCATGCTGTGTTCTGCATGCTGGCATCTGATTACACATTTGCATATAATTCACATTAGCCATCCAGATTTCTTGTTATGGACTGGCTGACACCTCTTAATTTCAATCTTTGTTTAGCAGATAACTCCTCTATTTGCTATCCTTTGTGGGATTGCCATATTTAAGGTCACCAAATAAGGTGCTATCTGCTAAACAGCACCCTCATTTGGTATCTTTAAATATGGAAATCTCACATACGGGCACCAATTCAGGGAATGATCTACTAAACAGCTAAAGGATACAAAAAAGCCCTTTTCTTATTTTCAGTTGTTTAGTAGATAAATCCCTTATTTGTTATCTTTATGTGGGATTGCAATATTTGAGGATAGGAAATAAGGGAGCTATCTACTAAACACATACGCAGAGATACACACAATCACACACATAATCACAGCTATACACAAGCACAATCACTGACCCACACACAAACATTACATACATACACACATTTAATAATTAAGAGGTCCACCCAGCCTCCCTACCTTGCTCTAGAAGGGCTGGAGTGGATTCTCAGTCCCTGGTGGTCAGTGGTCGCTGCTGGGATCTCTCGCACGCACGCCCTGTAATGACGCGGAGGCCGCGATGACATCATATCCTGGCTGCAGGCTCACTGCAGGGCGAAGACCATCAGACACAGTCAGATGCACACAGTCCCACACAGTCACTCACACACAGTTACAGGCAGACAGTCAAATACGCAGGCAATCACACAGGCAGACAGTCACACACACAATCACAGACAGTCACACATACACACAACACAGTCACAGACAGTCACACACACAATCACAGGCAGACAGTCACACACACCCACAATCACAGGCAGACAGTCACACACAGTGACACACACACACACAGAGTAACACAGACAATCACAGGCAGACAGTCACACACAGTGACACACACACACACAGACAGTCATACATACACATAATACAATCACAGACAGTCACACACACAATCACAGGCAGTCACACACACACACCCACAATCACAGGCAGACAGTCACACACAGTGACACACACACACACAGAGTAACACAGACAATCACAGGCAGTCACACACACACACACAGTCATACATACACATAACACAATCACAGACAGTCACACACACACACACACACACAGTCAGAGAGTCACACACACAGTCACAGACAGTCACAATCACAGTTACACACAGCACACACTCTCTCCCTTACAGTAAGCTTGGGCTGGAGGAGGAGCGGATTCAGTCCCTGCTGTGCTGTAGTTGGGGAAGCAGGGACTCCTTCCTGCTTCCCCTCTGTGTGCAGCAGTAGGAGGCTGCATATAGCTCCGCCCCCACGTCCGGATTGGCTCCGCCCCCACGGCTGATCGGGCCCCGCCCCCGAATCTCCGTGCAGGTTTCCTGCTGTATTCCCAGCCCCTGCGTGTGAGCTGTGTCGGCTGCCCGGCGCCCCTGCTGCTATGGCAACCAGTGCAGCCACACAGCTCACTGACTCCCAAGCCTGGCCAGCCCTGGTGGCACCCCCCTGCCTGTTGGCACCCAGGGCGGACCGCCCCCCCCGCCCCTCCCTTAGTACGCCACTGCACTCTGATGACTCCACTTTTCTCTTACCTTCTGTCTCTCTCTACTTCTCGAAAGACTACCATAAAGAGTGGAGCCTAGTCACTTTTCGTCTCTCTACCCTACAAGCAAGGAGAATAATTAGATATAGAGAATAACACAAAACTAAAATTCACTGCTTAAGTAAAATGATTACCGTCCAATGGCAGCTCAAGCACCAAGTACGACTCCCTCTCTTCCGATCGAAAGCTAGGTAAAAACAGGAAGTAAGTGCAGCGCCTACATTGTCCTTATTAGGGTATACTTAATGACAAGAAAAACAGAGGAAAACAATTGTGTAATATTTAAAACTGTAGTTGGCATAAATGAGATAAAAAATTAGCAATCACACGTTATTGGAGCTTCAGTGCAGCTCCAACTTATGCTCCTGGGCGGAATAAACCCCACCTAAGGATCAAGTGCAGGGTTACTTCATATTGTCGTGGTTATAGGAGGCATCCTCATAGAAATAAATTTTTTTTATATGATGTAGTATATTGAGCTATGGAGCATGGGTAGGTATAAATATAAAGTGTGCACTTACATGTAATGGAGCCGTAGGTATGGCTCAAAGGTCAGTGAGTGAAGTTGTATGATCCCCATTCAAGGATATAGGTGTAGATAGTCTTTCCCGTGGGTATATACATAGGAAGAGACAAATAAAACCACAATAGTGTACACCGTAATATGGAGTGTAAAACACAATAGAAAAGATAAAAAAAAAAAAAAAAATAACTACTAACAAGCTTAAGAGCAAAATGCGGTTTGCTCAATCCAATACACATAGGTTATCCCTACCAAGGATGAAGCTCAAAGATCCAGCAGCAGCAGAAACAGGTCCAATTAAAAAGTACTTTAATGTTAAAGGACCACTCTAGGCACCCAGACCACTTCAGCTTAATGAAGTGGTCTGGGTGCCAGGTCCAGCTAGGGTTAACCCATTTTTTCATAAACATAGCAGTTTCAGAGAAACTGCTATGTTTATGAATGGGTTAAGCCTTCCCCTATTTCCTCTAGTGGCTGTCTCATTGACAGCCACTAGAGGCGCTTGCGTGCTTCTCACTGTGATTTTTCACAGTGAGAGCACGCCAGCGTCCATAGGAAAGCATTATGAATGCTTTCCTATGTGACCGGCTGAATGCGCGCGCAGCTCTTGCCGCGCGTGCGCATTCAGCCGACGGGGAGGAGAGAAGGAGGATCGGAGGAGGAGAGCTCCCCGCCCAGCGCTGGAAAAAGGTAAGTTTTTACCCTTTTCCCCCTTTCAGAGCCGGGCGGGAGGGGGACCCTGAGGGTGGGGGCACCCTCAGGGCACTATAGTGCCAGGAAAACGAGTATGTTTTCCTGGCACTATAGTGGTCCTTTAAAAAACAATAGCAAGGTAAAAAAATAGATAAAACAGTATGAATAATACACTGAACGTGTTTCACCTAAACATAGGCTTTCTCCAAAGTGTGAATAATTAGATATAAATATACACCTTACATTTGTTAATTGGCTAAACCACATGCAAATTTTTCAACTTTGTTATTGCTTTGTTTTAACTTTATCTTTAAAAATTATCTAAAAACGCTTGGGCAGTGCACGTAACTATCGCACTGGACCACAGGCAACATTGATGGAACCTCTGAGGTTTATCGGAATAGTTGCAATGTAGAAGTGTTATCTGTATGTGATTTGCAAAGCTGTGTCATTTTTTTAGCTGCCGAAGCAAAAAAATAAATTAAAATAAAATAAAAATAAGGCTACAGTGAAAATATAAGTTAATCAAAATCTGTAATGTGCTAAGTGGCTTCTAGCTTTCCAATGTGCAGGAAATAGAAAAAGGTTCTTTGCACTCATATAATGCGGTGTTCCCAACATACCCAAGGCTTGGTTTTAATTCACTATTTGAAATTTGAAAAAACAAACAAAACAAAACACAAAAACCTGCTTATCTAGCTAAAAAATATCAACACAAGGTACAGATTAATTTTAAAGTACAAAGTTGTGGTGCATAGTCTGAACATGCTGCAGTTTATGTCTTGCATATCAGTGCTATAGTTTTACTTTGTGTCCTCCCTGATCATTTACAGATATACTGTACTGATGTTCTCTGTTTCACAAACCATTGCATGCATCTTGTCATATTAAATGCAATACTTTGCGACCACGTGGAGCAGATGGGGCATTGGTATGATTATACAAGCCAGGCATGTTCAGAACAGAACATATTTACATGTCCTTTGCAAATCGACTACCACTAATGGACGACTTCTTGATGGAAATCTCTATCATCCATTCCCCAGGCGAATGAATGGCATATGGGAAAGGTAAAGATAAGAGAATACATGTAGATGGAAACATCCACTGTCCTCGTCCCTGCTGATGAAAACTAAGATAATTAAAGTAAACTATTATGTAGACTGCCGGAATTACACAAAACACTGGATCACTAGAACAGGTCTGTTCTGTGTTGGAAATAGCACTGTCATTGCATAGGGTCAGCTGAGGCTACAAAAAAGCTTGTATGGAGACAATCCTGTTCTTATACTTGAGATGCATGCCACAGAGAGAATAATATGTCCAAGACTCCAATGATAAAAGAGGAGTCATCTTAGAATTCTGAAATATTGACAAGCAGTTGCATGGCACATCACCATTATCTGTGATTCCATTAATAGATGGATATACAATAAGTTGTTTAGTCCTGTAGTTGGATCATCCAATAGCAATGTAAGGGGTGAGGGGTGAGTGGGTGGATGTTTTGCCAATAATAGCTCCTCCAGAGGCATAACAAATCATACATGTTACAAACATTACATAGCCTCCTGGTCATGGGTTTGTGGTCCTGCATGAGCCACTCTCCGCTGTCATCAGCAAGCATGAAATTATTTACAAAGTGCACTGGCTAATAGCTGCCTGCCTCGATATCAGTTATTTGGAACCTTGAAAAAAAGATTTGTTTAAAGTGAGTGTCTAAGTGAGGACATTTAATTTATTCATCAAAAAAGGGAAAAAAAATTATAAAAAGATTCATATCTTGAAAGATCTATTTTCTTACAGGTTTATACCTCCTACACCCATTACAGACACACCTGTCAGGAGCATCTCATTCTGGTTTATGAGGTCTGACCTTATCTCATAAATTCATGTCCAACAGGAATTTATGGGATAAGTAGTTCATTCCAGACCTGCACTTCCAATTATCATTTATGATGCCATACTGCATCTGCTATCAGTTTATATACAGCCAGGTTCCGTAGGAAATAAAGCTGTGTTGTGTATGGAGAAGAAAACCTTCCCCTTTGTTCATGCTGCATGCTTAACCCCTTCCCGACCAAAGACGGAGATTTTCCATCAAGCTTGTCCGTGCGTTAAGGACCGTTGCCGAAAAATCTCCATCATTTACTAACGTTAACGCCAGATCGCCGCGATCACAGCGATTGTGGGGTTAACGCTGTTGCTGGGTGCCTCGATGTCAGAGGCAGACCAGCAACTGCCAATAGCCAGTCACATCGATCACAGTGCTGCTGGGATTCCTGATCCTCTTCCCTGGTTTGAGAAGTGGAGAGAGACGGATCGGTGCTGCAACATTGTGTGCCATTTTAGCTTAAAGTGTATCTGTGTTTTAAAAGTAATTTTAATACTTTTAAAACAGTGTTAACCCTTTCCTTGTCCTTTTGATCACTGCCTGCAGTGATCAGTATACTGATCACAGTATTTAACTGTGGTCTATTTTTTTTTGTACACTTAAGGGTTAATTTTGATTTTTTTTAACCCTTAGGGGTTAATTTTACTTAATTTGTTATTTAATTAATTTTTTTTTTTTTATAATTTGTTTATTTCATTTTTCTTATATAGCCATTCAAGACATTACCATCAACATTAATGATATAGAAAACATAAAAAGTGTTGCCATCTACCACCAATTAGATAAAAATGTTAAATTTATATGTATACTCAATACTATTGCACACATATTAGCCTTTGTGATATAAGAGCTTTTTCCCCTTTTCATTTTTCTACTAAATTATTTTCTAGATCTAGATCAAATGCCATATTGGAAAAGAGGAAAGAAGAAAGATCAGTCTACATGTCTAAAAATTTTTATCGAACCTCCCTCTAATATTAAAATTCCTTTTATCTATCGTATAAGGCAACTTAATTCACTATTAATTATTACTTAAATTGGGTAGATGGCATTCCAAACTTCATTAATATGATATACATAACAAACATAAAAGACAAACATTTATTTTTATGCATTGCAAACTCTTCATGGGGTATTTCAGTGTCACCTCTATTTCACTACCTTAATATACTATAATTACTTTAATTTTATCCAGAATTTATTCTGGCCATACTCTCCACTTTTTCTTTCCAAAAATTACTGACGTCTCTAATTTTAATTGACTGATGTCCGAGGGCCTCCATATTTAATTGATATTGGACTTGAGAATATAATTGGGCTTGTGTAAAATTTGCACTACTCTTCCAATTCCTTGCAATGATTATTTTTATTGCTGCTACAAAATGGACGTATATAAATTTATCCTTGAAAAGGAGTGATTGCAAATTTAAGTGAAATAAACCATTATGATGACCCCTAGGGATTTTTATTTCTGTAATCTCCAGTGAATCGAAAGCCATATACCACAGGATTTTCACCTTACTACACTCCCACCATATATGTCCAAAGGTCCCCTCTTTTTCGTTACATCTCCAACAAATTGGAGAATTGGAGATATACATTTTGGCTAGTCTGGTAGGGACTAGATACCAGCGGTTCATTAATTTAAACAATACTTCAAGAAGGTTCAGACAATGGATTATCTTACTTGTTTGATATAGTACTTGATCCCATTCAGACTTAAAAATCTGTACATTTAACTCTTTACTCCATTTTTGGATATTTACATTTAAGTTTGGAGCTTCAATTTGGAGGAGAGCAGTCCTTGCCTTTGAGACTATTTGCGGTACGATCTCATTTTTTAATAAAACTATCAGGTTTTCTATGCCCACTGTAGGTCGACATAGCAAATATTGTTTGATAAAACTTCCAATTCTTAAATAATTATACCACTCCTTCCAGGGTAATGAAAATTCTTGTATCAGATTTTCAAATGATTTAATTTTGTCGCCCATTATTATTTGATTTATAGAGTCAATACCTTTCCTTGTCCATTCCCCTAAATTTAGATCCTTCATCCTTAGTTGGATAATACTAAGGTTAAAATTTCCCAATATTTTATTACATAAACCGCTATTAATCCTCATCTTTTCCCACTCCATTAATATAGATTTCAAACATGTATTGGAGGAACAGACCTTTTTGGTTCTTTCATCTTGTTTAGTTAACCAAATCAAATGATGTAAATTTTCCATTTCTGTCATCTCCAATTCTAGTTGGTACCAACCAACTTCCTCTGAACTTAATAATTGTGTCTTATATATATGGAACATCATATTTGCTAGATACGTTATAGTAACATTTGGAAAATTTATCCCTCCTTTCCTAGTCTTCTGCATCAAAAGTTGTTTATTCATCCTCGGCCTTTTTCCTTTCCATATAAAATTATTTATATCTCGTTGTATCATAGATAACCATGGTTGTGGCATTCTCAAGGGGATCATACGGAATAAATAAGACCATTTAGGTAGTAAATACGAATTAACCAAATTAATTCTGCCCCACCAAGACAGTTCAGTTTGTCTCCATCTCTTTAAAGACTCATGTGTCGATCTAAATGTTTTCAAAAAATTTACTTGGAGCGTATCTTTAACATCATCAGTGAGAATTATACCCAGATACGTTAACAAATTTTTATTACAATTAAATTTATATTTATCTTTAATCTGTTGAATAGAATCTCTGGAAATATTTATTGCTAAAAAAGTGGATTTAATTACATTTATTTTATAATTTGAGATCAGACTATATTTATCTATTTCTGCCATCAGTGCTTTAAGCGATTCGACAGGGTCGGTTAGGGTCAATATCAGATCATCTGCATATAGATTTAATTTAAGTTCTTTTTCTCTAAGTTTAAATCCTTTAATTTGAGGGTTATCTCTTATTTTAATGGCTAAGATCTCCATTGTCATTATATATAAAATCGGTGACAAAGGACAACCCTGTCTCGTACCATTTTTAAGTGTAAACCACTCTGCGCATATGTTTGGGGCCACTGTTCTTGCTTTAGGACCTTCATATAATGCCAAAATAGCATTTAGCATCCTTCCCTGAATTCCGAATTTTTCCATCGTTTTCCTTAAAAAATCCCAACCGACCCTATCGAAAGCTTTCTCGGCATCGACCGCCAATACAAATAAAGGTTTATTACTTCTTCTAGATACATCTATCAGATCCAATAATCTTCTAGAGTTATCTACTGGATCTCTACCTTGTACAAAACCAATTTGATCATTTTTAATTATATTATCCATTAAACCTCTTAATCTATGAGCCAAAACTGAAGAAAATTTTTTAACATCTGTATTGATTAAGGAGATAGGTCTATAATTTTCTACCTTTAGAGGATCTTTGTTATCTTTAAGAATTGGAAGAATATTTGCACTCAACATTTCTGTAGGGAATTTACCAACTGATACAATTTCGTTAAACATGTCTGTTAGGTGGGGGACAATAAGTTTTTTAAATGATTTATAAAATATATTTGCGAAACCATCTGGGCCTGGCATCTTATCTGGTTTTAATTTATTTATTACTACCTCTACTTCCTGAGCTGTAATTAAAGTATTTAGCTTATTAGTTTGTTCTATTGTAATCTTAGGAGTATTAATTTTACTCAGATAGTCCTCCTCGTTGGTTATCGAGGGAGTTAAATTATACAAAGCCTCATAATACTTATTAAATCTCTCCCCTATTTTTTTTGGGTCCAGATATACCCCGTCTTCATCCTCTATCTTTACTATTTTATTGGATCCAATTTTATCTCTTAATTTTTTGGTCATAATTCTATCTGCTCGATTTCCCTTATAGTAGTAATTGGCTTTGAGTTTATTCCTAATTTTTACATTCTTTGCTATAAGAAAATTATTAATTCTATTCTGAATACTTTTTAGCTCGTTTGCATTTTCTTTAGAGGGAAACTGCTTGTTCTTGCTTGCAGCCTTTTTCAGTTCTGTTTGTAATACCATAAAAGATCTATTATTTTCTACTTTATATCTTGTTTGAATACTTATTATATTGCCTCTCATGTAGATTTAAAAGCACACCAGTTATTTGTATATGAAGTATCATTTGGATCATTTTCAAGAAAGAAGGTTACTATTTGTTTTTCCATTATATCAAGATTGATCTTAGATTTTAACAAATTATCATCCATGCGCCAGGTATCACGACCAATCCTGATCCACTGATTCTTCATCTCCCACATATTAATACTATGATCTGACCAAGTATTATCAAGTATCTTAAAATATTTAATATTCGTCAATGCTGTCATATTTCCCCAAACCATATCTATTCGGGAATACGAAAGATGTACCCGTGAAAAAAACGTATATTCCAATGAATTAGGATTGGTCGTTCTCCAAAGATCAAAATAATCAAAATTAATCATGTTTCTCTTAATAGATTTTGCCAATTTATCTGTTCTTTTTTGATGTAATAGTATTGAAAATGTCTTCTTATCTAATATCGGATCCAATACACTATTAAAGTCCCCAGCCACCAAACATATGCCTATTTTGACAGATTCCATTAAAGTTAAGACCTTTTTTAAGGTTGGAGCAGGAAAGTCATTAGGCAGATATATATTAGTCAATGTATAAGGTATCTCATTCAATTTACAACAAACTATAACATATCTACCTTCCTTATCTTTAATTTGATGAATTATATCCACTTTTAATGTGTGGGAAAATATTATTGCTACTCCTCTTTTTTTTTCTCCACTTAAAGAAGCATGTATCATTATAGGGAATTTTGAACCACCCCAGCCCTGACTATCCATATCCAACCAGTGAGTCTCTTGAAAAAAGCCCACTTCCACTTTATTTCTTAACATATAATCATAGATTAAAGATTTTTTGGTTAAAGAATTAAGGCCTTGGACATTAACTGAAATCATCTTTACCATTTTAAATCAAAACTCATTGTTTCCACTGACCCCAAGAGAGCTGCAATGCATTCACATACAACACAAAAGGTCCATTGAACATAGACCCACAAAAACCTTATGGGAAAAACCCCCAGTCTGGCCCAACACAGCCTGGCTCCCGAAAGGTTTCCTCTCAGCATACCACTCCAGGACCATCTGTGTCCTCGTGAGATGGTGTTTAGATTCACCATATCACGGAATTTGTGTCAACAAAAGAGATGACACTTGGTGGGGCGGTATGAGGAGAGTAACCGAAAATCTTGTTCCTTATTTTTAAGAAAACTCTACTATCTCATATAATTACACAGAGAAGAGAAAAAAAAAAAATAAAAAAAAAAATCTTATTTACAACCTAGATTCCCTGATAGTTATGAATATATAATCACTAACAGTTTATGTGGTGCTATTATTTTAAAAGATCTATCCAATTGGTTATAGAATATCTGCCATTCTTCTTAGATAACTTACTATTACCACCCAACCAGTTGTGTGTTTGTGTGACAATATATACAAATTCCCAGATTTTACTAATAACATGACGTAAAGTCATGATTTTATTAATGACACGGAGGCGAGTATTATGCAATCTCTTTCTTACTTTATTCCTCAGCAGCAAAGAGAAATATAAAACTGAAAGAGAAAAAATGTAGATATGCAATATAATAACAGGTACAACCAGATCTGCCTAGTAACAGGGCAGCCAATCAGCTTAGTAGGAACAGTCCATAAATGCCTTGCTTCCTAGTACTTCCTAGTACTTCCTAGTACTTCCACTTCCTCTTCTTTGCCTTCTGAACCGAAGACCCAAACTAAACTTCCACATCAGGAAAGAACAATCTCCAACCAGGTAGACGTCATCTTAACGAAATCAAGCTGTAAAACAGAGAAAAGGTAGGTAAAATCCAAACTCCGGACCTGCATGTAACATTTCATGACAATCTGGCCTGCAGGACTAAAAAACGTCAAATCGGAACCACATAAGTACATAGATCCAAATAAGTCAGAGAAAACTGTGAACACTTACCTTGAGGTAAAAGAGCCCCCACCGATTGAACCATAAGTATAGACCCAAACCATACCCACTGGGTGGGAGGGTGGGAATAATACTCGCCTCCGTGTCATTAATAAAATCATGACTTTACGTCATGTTATTAGTAAAATCTGGGAATTTTATTAATGACACGGAGGCTCCTATTATGCTAGTTTAAAGCTGAGCCATAACTAACGAGGAAACATGGTCAATCGGGCAGAAATAAAAATCGCGGAAAGTAGATTCTCTAGACCAATCCGCTGCCTTCAGGATATCATCCAGACGACATCCCATCGTGGAGGCCTTAGACGCCATGGCGCCTCTGACCGAATGAGCTGAAAATATTGAAGTGTCAATTCCTGCAGCGGATAGAAGGTTCTTAATCCAACGAGCTAACGTAGTCAAGGAGATCGGGAGAAACGGTTTCTTAAATGAAATAAACAATTGGGATAAATCCGATGACCTCAATAGGTGAGTGCGATCCAAGTACACCTGTAGGCAAGCTACCGGACGCAGAGCAGGTCGGACTGAACACCTAGGGTAGGTCACTGACTTAGAAGACGTCTTCGTCCTTCTAGAGATGTTAAACGACACTCCCTCGTGGGTGAAGGATAACGCGTTCCAGTCCAAAGCCCTGACATCTGAAACCCTTTTGCATGAAAGGAGACACAGGAGCATAACCAATTTCCAGGATAATTGCTTCAGTGACAGGTCCTCATTAGGAGGCCATGATTCCAAGAAGTCCAGCACCACGTTAACATCCCAAAACGATGAATATCTGGATTTCGGAGGCCCAGAGTAACTAATACCCTTCAACAAACGGCACACGAAAGGATGTTGTCCAATCGGTGATCCGTCAATACCTAGATGTCCGGCTGAAATGGCCGATCTATAAACATTGATAGTGCGATAGGCCAAACCAGATTCAAAACGCGTAGTTAGAAAATTGAGCACCTCCTTCAGAAGGGCAGAAAGGGGATCCAGCAGTCTCCCTACGCACCAGCCAGACCATACACGCCATGCAGCCTTGTAAGCTGTTCTGGTACCCGGTGCCCAGGCATTCTCCAGGAGTCTTGTAGTAGCCTGCGGAACGTCCGAGACACACCAGGGTCCCCGGAAATCAACCAAGCTGTGAGCTGGAGCAGGTTCTGGTCCACTAAGTCGTGCGAGTTCCCATCCGGATCCAGAAGCACCTCTGATCGCATCCTGATCATCCGTGGGCACTCCGTCGCCATCTCCAAAAGTCGTGGAAACCAAGGCTGAGTCTGCCATAGGTGAACTATCACCACCAACGTGCATTCTTGTCCGGACAAGTATGCCAGCGTCCGAGAGATCAGGTTGAAAGGGGGAAACACAAAGTGACGACCCCGAGGCCATATCTGCAGGAACGCGTCCACCGCCGTGGCTGATGGATCCATTCTCCAACTGAAGTATTGGGGTAGTTGAGCGTTCAGTCTGGATGCGAACAAGTCCAGTTGTAACGGGCCCCATAGTCGATCTGTCATAAGATCGAAGGTAACAGATGCCAACCTCCGGAGTCTTTCAAGTATCGCAAATTCCAGTCCGCCCATTCGTTGTCCAAACCCGGGATGTGTTCGGCCGTGACCGACACCGCGCTGTGGAGGCAGAACTGCCAGAAATCCTTCGCTAGATTCGCCAGTTGTTTTGACTTTGTGCCATCTAGGTGATTTATATATCTGACCGCGGACACATTGTCCATACGCAGAAGGACGCAGCAGTTTCCCAGGGTTGGAGACAGGCTGCGAATAGCGAATGATCCCGCCAGCAATTCCAGACAGTTGATGTGTAGCTTTGATTCGATTTCGGACCATCTGCCACCTGTGGAGACATCTCCACAGCGAGCGCCCCAGCCATGCAGGCTGGCATCCGATTCTATCACCATGTCCGGGGCGGTGCCGAAGATTGCTCGACCATTCCATGCCTCCATATGATCCAACCACCATCGAAGTTCCTCCTTGGAGTCTCTGCCCGAGCGAAGGTGGGATCCTTTCAGACGTTGTAGGGCCCGATAATGTAGGGGTCCCGGAAATATTGCCTGAATGGAGGAGGCCAAAAGACCAATGACCCTCACCAATTGTCGTACGGAGAGACTGGTGGTCCGTAGAGTACGTGTTATTTCTTTCTTGATAGTCTTTAGCTTGGTCTCTGGAAGGAACAGAAACTGGGCGACCGAATCGACTTCGAAACCCAGAAATTCTATTTTCTGCGATGGGGTCACCATGGACTTTTCCCAATTTATGAGAAAACCTAAGCTCTCCAGAAGATCCACCGTCCAGCTCAGGTGTTGCATATGTTGGTCGGGGGACGCGGACATAATCAGTATGTCGTCCAGGTAGATAATCATGCGTACGCCCCGTGACCTGAGGAACGCCACCACCGGCTTCATCACCTTCGTGAAGCACCAAGGTTCTGAAGAGAGACCGAAGGGCAGACAGGTAAACCTCCACCGACGTCCTTGCCACGTAAAGTGCAATAAGTCCCAGTGTACTTCTGCCATAGGTAAAGTCAGGTATGCGTCCTTGAGGTCTAGCTTGACCATCCAATCCCCTTGCCGAAGCAGATCTCTGAGGCAATGTATGCCCTCCATCTGGAAGTGATGGTAACGAAGGAATCCGTTGAGTCGCTTGAGATTGATCACCGGCCGAACACCTCCGCCTTTCTTGGCAACGAGGAACAGGTTGCTTAGAAATCCCGGATGATCGTACGGGACTTCTTGTATTGCTCGTTTGGCCAGAAGTTCTGAGATCTCCTTGGTAATCAGCCCGGACTGATCTTCCGGCAACCTCAGTTCCTGAGGTGAGTCCACCTGGATAGGGGGAGACAAAAGATCTAGGCGAAAGCCTCTGATAGTATTTAACACCCACACATCCGTGGTGATCATGCCCCACATGTCGAGAAACAAAGCTAACCTGCCTCCCACACTCGCCTGGAGAGAAAACCCTTTTTGAGTACTCACTGTAAGGGCGTCTGTATGAGGGTTGGCCAAGTCCTCCCCGATTCTGCCATGTCCTCCCGCGGGAGGGAAAGAAGGGAGCGGGTTTGTAGTTCTGATAGGCCCGAGGGGCAGCAAAGGAACCTCTTTGAGTCCGTGAGGGACCTCAATTTCCATGGCCGCGCGGACGGCTCCTATACCTCCCGGCCCTGTTTAAAACCTTTGGACCAAAAACTCTCTTAAGGTTGGATTGGGCCTTATCTAGGGCGGTGAAGGTGTGCACAAAAGAGCCCAAGTCTTTAACAATAGACTCACCAAAGAGCATGCCTTTAGCGGCAGCGCCCGGTTCCTTGACCGCAAGGTTAACCAGTTTAGGTTTGATTTTAAGCAGGATCGCTTTGTGGCGTTCGGCTGACATAGCAGTGTTAGCATTGCCGAGTAGGCAAATCAATCTCTGGACCCAACCTATTGCTACATCGAAATCAAGGGTGGTATCCCCTGTTTTAGCCGTCTCCAATAGCTCATAAAGCTTAGTCACGGGACCTAGAGTGTCCAAAATCTTGTCCTGGCAATTATGGAGTGAAAACTCCAAACCCTTTCTGGGTTTCCAGCCCGTTTTTGTCAGGAACTGTGAGATCTGAGGGTCAACCTCTGGTGTCTTACACGCCGCATCAGGCACTGAGGGCCGTAACTTACTCCGCCCCTCCTTGGATAAGGGGGTACGCATACGAAGCGCTAGATAGCTAGCTATATGCTCGGGTCGGGTCCCAATCCACCGAGCGAGGGTGGTGAAGGTCATCAGGATCGAACAGGGGGTAACCCTGCGGATCGCATATGCCTTGTTCCTCACTCGGAGGTAACGCCGAAGCGTCAGACCCCGCCTCCGCGTCGGAGTCCCCTTCCTCATAAGAGGCGTAGCCGGGGGTGTCCGAACCTGTCTCCCCACTTGGATCGGAATTAGACTTGTCATTGTCATGGGCACGCGCCCTTTTCCACTTTCTGGTCGATTTTGCCCGGCCAGCGGCTCTGTTGTGCGGTAATGCGCCATCTTGGACGGCCATAGGCACGTCAGTCAGGGCAGGTACTACCTGTGTCATATCGGGGGAGACATGCTTAGTTTTGGCATATGCCTTGCGGCTACCTGAGGTTGCAGCGCAGGCAGGAGGCTTGCCAACATAGGAGAAGCCAGGGGCTGAGTCAGGGCCTGTTGGATAGTGTGAGACAGCGATGATGAGACTGTCCCCATGGCAGAGGCCAGGGCCCTCTGCATAGTAGAATCAATAAGGGCCTGGAACTCCTGAGAGGGGGTGAGTCCCCCTTCACTTGAGATAGGGGCCTGAAAGGCTTCCATGGTGGGGTAGCTGGGGCAGCCAGAATCATCACCCTTAGCCTGCATGATAGACAGGAGGGCAAATAAGCTTGTGGTTAAAAAGGGGGTATGTCCCTTTAAATATACGCAGATAAAATATTAAGCCACAATAAATATTATGGGAGCCAGGCCACCAGTCTCAGAATACAATGCTATAACAGTTTGATGGAGCAAAACCTAAACTACAGAACAGGGGTTGAGTAACATACAAAGCAAATACCTGTGGAGAAAAAACAAGGGTAAAGGGAGCCGACCGCCGGATCCGCCAGCAGCCACGTGTGTGAAAGAAGATGGCCGCCACGTGCAGAGCATGCCGCGGCCCCAAGCTCCTCCCCCGCCAATGGCCGGGGAGCTCGTTGGAAAAACACACGCGGCCGGAGGTAGAGCGGGTCGCCACACGCGGTCGCGAGGGGAGGAGGGAGGGCGGTCAGGTAGCACAGCAGCTCCCGAGAAAAAGGCTTCCCCAGTGATCCGCGGTCCCTGTCTGTGCACACAAAAGGTACAGCACAGGCAGGGAGACCGTGCAAAGCAGGGGAAGAAACAGAGACACCCAAAAGGGGTGCCAAAAAACATCAAAGCAAAACACAGAAATCATATAGGGTGCACAAAGCAGCATACAAGTACATAATACATTAAATATTATCAGTAAATAAACCCATAAAAACAATCCAAGATTAAAATATACAGGAGTGAAATTAATACGGTACTTAGCTGGTCTGAGGACAGCAGCAAAGAAAGAGGAAGTGGAAGTACTAAGCAAGGCATTTATGGACTGTTCCTACTAAGCTGATTGGCTGCCCTGTTACTAGGCAGATCTGGTTGTACCTGTTATTATATTGCATATCTACATTTTTTCTCTTTCAGTTTTATATTTCTCTTTGCTGCTGAGGAATAAAGTAAGAAAGAGATTGCATAATAGGAGCCTCCGTGTCATTAATAAAATCTATCTCTTAAGTATATCAAATCCTACCATGTGTTTTAATCCTATGATAATTATTTTTTTTATTTTCGTGAATAATTTAATTTAAAAGTTATTTAATTAATTTAACGTTAATTCCTGAAATAGCTGGAGAGGGTGGACTTTAGTGGGAATTTGGGAAATTGAGTGTTAGGCTAGTTAGAGACGAAAAGTTTAGAAAAGTTCTGAAAAGTTTTTAAAAGTTTAAAAAAAAAAAACTTAAAAAAAAAAAAAAAGGATAAAAAAATAAAAAGTTAAAAAATAAAAATAATAAACAGTTACACTACCATAATGTCTAGAAGGTACACTGCTGAGGAGGCTTATGATATACTAGCAGCCGACTCTGACGCCACAGACACTGCCTCCGAGAGTGGTGATGAGACTGTGCCAAATACTGCAGGGCCCTCTGTTGTAAGCGCCGAGTCCCCTGACCTGGCGACTGGGAACCCCTAAATGATTTCACGCCTGACATCCTAGTGCTTACTGGCAGTCCTGGAATTCAGTTGGACGTCACTAACTACAGTGCACCGGATTTCATGCAGCTATTCTTGGGGAATGATATTTTAGGGGATATAGTCACCCAGACCAACCTTTATGCTGTGCAGTACCTGACAATGATCAGAGTCTCATCGCCAGGCAAAGGAGTTGGTACCCCACCAGTCTGCCAGAATTAAAAAAATTTTGGGCACTAACGATGCTAATGGGCATTATTAAAAAAAACAGCCTCAGGATGTACTGGTCCAAAAATCCTATATGCAGCACCCCTATTTATTCCCAGACCATGAACAGGTCCAGATATGAAGCAATGCTTCGCTTTTTACACTTCAGCGACAATTCGAAGTGCCCCCCAAGAGATAATCATCAATACGATAATCTCTAAGATTCACCCCCTTATTTCCCACTTCAACAGACAGTTTGGCTCAATGTACACCCCACAAAAAAATATTTGTGTAGATGAGTCTCTAATGAAATACAAGGGCAGACTGGGGTTTAAACAATATATCCCGGCCAAAAGATCCCGGTATGGGATAAAGTTGTATAAACTTTGTGAAAGTGCCAGTGGTTATGTTTACACCTTCCATGTTTACGAAGGTAATGACAGCCACTTGGATCCCCCAGGTTGCCCGGATATCATTGGGACGAGTGGAAAAATGGTATGGGATTTAATTAACCCATTGCTAAATAAGGGGTATCATTTATTTATAGACAATTACTATAATAGCATCCCTCTTCTTAGGATGCTTTATTGCTTTGAAACTGTGGCCTGCGGCACTATCCGAAAGACATGTGTTGGTTTCCCAAAAGTCCTGGCACAAAAAAAGCTCAAGAGGGGGGAAACGGCTGTTCTCTGCCAGGACGAACTGCTGGCTCTCAAATTCAAAGATAAGAAGGAGGTGTTCATGCTTACATCTATGCATACTGAGCAAACTCGAAGAGTCACAGCTCGTGGCAGACAAGAAATTAGACGGGTGCCAGTCTGCATTAGGCAGTATAACAAGCACATGGGGGGAGTTGACCTGTCCGACCAACTGCTGCAACCCTATTTAATACTGAGGAAGACCAGGGCATGGTACAAAAAGCTTGGCATTTAACTTATGCAAATGGCAACTCACAATGCCTTTATTCTGTACAAAAAGGCAAATGCTGACATTAAATCCACATTTCTGGATTTCCAGTTTCAGCTTATTTCTTGGCTGCTCACTGAGTGCCACAGTGGGGAACCATCAGCTGGGCCTAGCAGCAGAAGGGTTGAGACAGGTCACTTCTGTTTCCGGATACCACCAACCCCCAAAAAGAAGACACCCCAGAAAAGGTGCAGGTTGTGCTACCAGAGGGGTATAAGGACGGAAACCAACTTTTATTGCCCTGATTGCCCCTCTCAGCCCGGCCTTTGTATTGGCAACTGTTTTAAAAATTTTCACACCCAGGGAGCATAAGTTGCACATTGTTTATATAAATACACACACATTTTTTTTTTGTTATTATTTAGTTCTTCCATTTTAAAGTTGCTGACAATGTTTAGGGCCAAGGAGGCTGCTGCAATTCTTACCTCTGACTCTGATTATTTCATTATTTTTATTTTTCTAATTTTAGTTAGTTAATTAGGGTGCATGGGAATTCATAGGAAGTTGGGGAGTTTAGTGTTACGCTAGGGGTGAAAAGATTTTTTTTTTTTTTAAATAGAAAAAATAATATTTTATAACATTATTTAAAGTTCTTGTGTAAAAAGTAAAAAATGCTTAGGAAGTTATGAATTCTATCAGCAGACAGAGTTGACAGGCAGTGCCCCTGAGTTTGATGCAGGTTAAAGGACCACTATAGTGCCAGGAAAACATACCCTCCCGCCGGGCTCTGGGGAGAGGAAGGGGTTAAACTTACCTCTTTCTCCAGCGGCGGGCGGGCAGCTCTCCTCCTCCTCTTCGGCTGAATGCGCATGCGTGTCAGGAGCTGCGCGCCCATTCAGCCAGTCTCATAGGAAAGCATTCATAATGCATAATAGGTGTTATACTGCCGTAGCACACATAAGGATTGCAAAATATACAGTAACATCTCCAAGTGTGTGTCATAAAGGCAGAAAAAATGCTAATTGCTACTAGACTTGGTACAAACTAGTAAAAAATTATCCTACGCTAGGGTTTAAAATATGCCGGGTTTTCGAACCATTAAACTGCTATAATGGCCCAAATTGAAACATAGGTCCATCAAATCCGTCTCTCAAACTTCTACTGTAAATACCGAAATGGACAGGTCTCATATATGGCATTGTAGCTTCATGAAATAGTGCCAAAGACATACAATGGGGGTATCATTTTACTCAGAAGACTTAGCTGAGCATAATTTTGGGGCTTTGATCATAGTGACACGTCAAATATACAAAATGCCCAGCAAAAAGTAATGCAGTTGTAAAAAATGCCCCAAATTATTTTTAACCACAGACTTTGACATACATTGGTGAAAAAATGGGGTCATGTTAAGGCACAATATGCACCATATGAGATACCCTGGAGTGTCTACTTTTACAAATGGTAGGCCTTTGTGGGGTTTTTTCCAACCGTCAAACTGCTATAGTGGCCCAAATTGAAACATAGGCCCATCAAATCCGTCTCTCAAAATTCTACTGTAAATACCGAAATGGACAGGTCTTCTATATGGTGCTATAGCTTCACGAAATAGTGCCAAAGACATACAATGGGGGTATCGTTGTACTCAGCAGATATAGCTGAACACAAAATTAGGTTTTGTATAGGACTAGCACACACTAACTTTACGAAATACACATGAGAAGTTCTTTGTTATAATTTTGTGTGTCAAAAAAAATTTTAGACCAATATTTAGCAGGGATTGGCGGTGAAATGGCTCCATAAAAAGTGTCAAAATAATGTTAGTTAAATAGCCTGTGATGTCTTCTTTATATAAGAATATACGTTTGTGTGGCAATTTTGTTTTCTTTTATGGCTATTAAGCTTACAAGACAAACATACCAAATTCTAAAATCGCGCCACATTAAAAGTTTATTTTACTCCTTGTGTTTTGTGAGCTGTAACTACCAAAAAAACCTGAAAATCCCAGACACATTATATATTCTGTAAATCAGAACAACTAAATGAATTTATTTTTAATTACTTTCCTTAACCTGCACAAATTATGCACACATTATTATTGCAAAAAATGAAGAAAAAACCCAATATTTTTACATTTTTGGCCATTTTCTGTATTTTTTTATAATAAATAAGCATTTATATATGTATATGTTACATCAATTTAAAGCCCTTTTTGTCCTTTAAAAAACGGTATATAATATGTGTCGGTGCAATAAAATAGTAAAATGCAAATTGCAGTTGAACCCAAACAGCAAAAAATTTGAACATTTCTTGTGTCTTTAAGTGCAAGACAAGCTTTTGAAGCTGTGTCCTTAAGGGGTTAATATGTATGATATATGGTAAATACTGTTATGGGGCTTAGTATTTATATGTCTCTTATAATACATATCACACAGTGTACAGGAGCAAAAGGTGCACAGTATATGGTCTGTGTGTGTATATCTCTCTTAAATAACATAGAACCCAGGCTTGTTTTGTATAAAGTCAGTCTCTCTGGTTTTCACACACAGAGCATTTTTCTGGCAAAACCAGTTAAGTAGGTATTGGGAGTCCCATGTGTCCGTCATTCTGAACTCCTCGATTAAAGGAGTGTGGAGACAGGTGCAGCAGAAACAACACGTCACTGATTCTGTTACAAACAGATCCTGGATCAAGGTGACATAAACCAGTACATTGTTAGTTACTGTAAATACAAACACACCCTTTAGTTTTCCCTAAGACATATTTTTTTTCACCTGGGGCAAGTCATGGTTTTTTTATTTTAATATAATTATTCAGTCTGTTTTAATATACTGCATTGAATCATTTTTGCCAATCTAAACAAAATCCAATTTGCGGCCTTGCATGTTTCGCACGTCTTTCAATTCTTTTTCCCCCCACTTCCTTTAGATCTTGTTACTCTCTCCACCAGTCTTTCTCCTATCCCTTATTCCACACTTTTTTTTTTTTTTTTTTAAAGTCTCGCTCAATTCATCTCAGTTATTATTATAATCATCATGCCAACTGCTCTATTTTTCGCTACACTTGTCATTATTCTTCCCTATCTCCCAGATTTGTTTTTTTTTTCTGTCTCTCTTCTTCAGTCTTACACTAGCCTCATTGTCCTCTGTGTTACTGTGTTTCTCAATCACAACCAATTTAAATTTTTCTTTGCCAGTTTCAACTTTCCACCCTCCACAAGCATTTTCTCCAACTTTAACCATGTTCTGTAGAAATGGTAGTTTATACTTCTCCCTGTTTCCTAAATATGTACAGGATATGGGAGCATCATGTTTGGTGGAATGTGTGCAGCGTCACTTTTAAGGTCTTTGGTCTCAGGTGTGCTGGGTTGAATCACTGTGAGGGTCGCCTTTTTTATTTATTTTTATTTTTGTTGTGAGTACAGTACAAACTTGCCTTGCCACAACAGCAACAACAAGCAGAATTGTGACATATAGCAGAAAACATTAGTGTGGCATTTCAGGAAACTGCTAATTTTTTTATAATAATAGTACAAGAATATGCATGAGGTGAGTGTAAGGCAGGAGAAGGGCTGAGAAGTGTGTGTGTGTTAGGCACGATAGCTGACTACACTGGTGATGAAACATGAGGAGAGGAGAACCGGCTAAGTTACTAAGTTTTAAACAGGATAAGTCCCCCCGGAGGCTCCCAGAGGGTGGTATTTTGACGATACAGAGGAAAATATTATAGCAAAATGATAAGTTAAAAAAGTAAACAGCAGAGTTAAGCCAGCTAGGCAAAATGTGGAAGGAGGCAGGGCCACCATCAAGGGGTGACAACCATGATGGTTGTCACGGGCCGGGCCGCCTGGGCCCCATGTCCAGCGGGGGAGATGCCGCTGGTGCAGCTGCACCAGGGCCCGCATGCTGATAGGGCTCATCGGGTTGCCCAAGCATTTATGGCCACCCGATGGGTCCTATATCTTCAAGGGCCCGGTCAGCGCTGCAGCCGTGTAATAGCGCGACCGGCCCCTTTAAAAATAATGCAAGTACTGCTGGGAGGAAGTGACGGTCAGTCACTTCCTCCCAGCTTACTCCACGTGGGAGGAGACAGCCAGGCAGTGAAGAGGGAGAGCCAGCCGACTCCCATCAGCCCCAGCCACCCTCCTGCAACAAAGAAGTAAGAAACAGGAGGGTGGCTGAAAAAATTAGATGCATCTGTGTGTATATATGTCTGTCAGTCAGTATGTCAGAATGTATGCCTGCCTATCTTTATGCCTATGTGTCTGTGTTTCACTATGTATGTCTGTATATGTGTGTAAGTGTTTCAGGATGTGTTTATCTGTGTGTGTGTGTGTGTGTGTGTGTGTGTGTGTGTGTATCTGTGTCCTTTTGTATCAGTGCATGTGTTTGTGTCTGTGTGTGTATTCCTGTGGGCGAGATTCCAAGGCGGGCCCTGGGGCGGGATTTGGAGCATGCCCTGGGGATGGACTTGGAGGCAGGCCCAGACTGTGAGCTGTGTTAGGGGCCAGAAAATTTCTGATGGCTGCCCTGGTAGGAGGGAATATAAAAATCTGAGGTGCTTTCCCTTAAAGTGGAATATAGAATGGTTTTACCTTTAATTAATAATTGACAAACAAAAAAGGGTACCATAAACTTTCTGTCAAGGAGAGTTCATAGGAGTAAGGGCTATGTTGCTCAATCAGCCTATGCCTACCAAAGGCTTTTCACAGTCCAGCAGCAGAGTGAGGGACTTCAGGCTTATGTGCCATCTGATGGAGCAGATCCGCTTGCTTATTCGGGATCCCCCATCTGCACTGCACGCACCCGAAGGGGTACTGGATCAAGCGCCATCGGCTTTAGGTCACATTTCCTTTTTTTGCAGGGATGCCGAGTGTGGCCCAGCTTGCCGCCTAAAAGGGGCCTTCTTCCTTGCTGTGGATACTCACTTATGGCTTGGGGGTTGCATGTTAGGGGAGTGGCTGCTTGGTCTTCTTGGTGTTAGCTGAGGTGTTGTGTTTTCTAGCTTTCACAAGAAGGCTTCAAAGATAGCATCCACCCTGGATAACATATCTGATGTTCCTTGTGGACTGGGAGGACACTTGGTGGTCAACATGATGGGTGCACCTCTGCGTTGGTCGCTTGCTTGTTTGGCTTTGTCTCGCTTTTCCCTCGTATTGTTGTGGCAGGCTTCCTGGGGTGGATCGTGATCACCCCCAACGGTCTTGGTGGGGGAAACGGGAACCCGCTCGTGAGCGGTTGTGAAACTACACCGGGATGGAAGAACAGCCGCCTCTCCTGCCCGGTGCGTACAGGGCTGCATGCTTTAACAGGTACTAAGTGGGCTCTGAATGATCAGCTGACTGCCACAACAGATGCCCGTCTCCTCCATGACAGTCAGGCCCCGCCTCCCGTGAGGGTCGTCCTTTAACATAACTACTTGGAGGTAGAGATGTCGCAAACCGTCCGCGAACAGTTCGCCACGAACCGTTCGCGGCGAACTCCGGTCAGCTGACACATCCCGGCCAATCTCCGGCAGACCCTCCCTCCCAGACCCTCCCACCTCCTGGACAGCATCCATGTTGAAGCTGCCTTCAATAATACTCAAGCTATTATAACTTTGATTTTTTAAATCAGCTAGTATGGCCCTCATTTTACAATTTCCAATGTTTCTCAATTCATTGCAATTTGGTGCATATTGGATCATGAACCCCAATTAGTGTGATTTCAGTTTCTCCTATTGTTATATAAATGTTGTAGTAGTAATAGTATATCTCAGTCTGGACATATAGTAGAGGTTTTAAATGAATATTTTCCCACCATTTTACCAGCAATAAATCCTTGGCTTTACGGAGAACACATTGGCAGACAAATTAAAGGACCACTATAGTGGCAGGAAAACATACTCGTTTTCCTGGCACTATAGTGCCCTGAGGGTGCCCCCACCCTCAGGGTCCCCCTCCTGCCCTGCTCTGGGGTTAAGAAAGGGGTTAAAACTTACCTTTTTCCAGCGCCGGGCGGAGAGCTCTCCTCCTCGTCGGCTGAATGCGCACACGCGGCAGGAGCTGAGCACGCATTCAGCCGGTCGCATAGGAAAGCATTACAATGCTTTCCTATGGACGCTTGCGTGCTCTCACTGTGATTTTCACAGTGAGAATCACACAAGCACCTCTAGCGGCTGTCAATGGGACAGCCACTAGAGGAATAACAAACTGCTATGTTTATTAAAAAATGGGTTAACCCTAGCTGGACCTGGCACCCAGACCACTTCATTAAGCTGAAGTGGTCTGGGTGCCTAGAGTGGTCCTTTAAGTCAAGTGGCACTTTGAGCAACTGAGCTGAATGTTCAATAAAAGCAAACATCATCTGAATGTTAAAAGTCACATTCAGTCGTTTTCTTCTACAGATATATTAAGAAATATGTAGCAGACTAAATTCCCCTGGGGAAACTCATTTTTTCAAACTTGTTGACCGACTGGTCATCTGGGACTAAGGAGACTTGATTTTTCCCTTGCCCAGAGGTATTGAAATAATGTTCTCTCAATTTGGGTTACATTATGCTGCAGACTCCCTCTAGGTGGAGCTTGGGCTGTAACTTGTCAGGGGTCACCAATCCTGCTCGCCTTCAGGCCTATTTGGCCGAGTCTTACGTGGAAATAACATTTTTTTCCCTTTTCCTCCTTGCCAACCCTTTCTAAAGATAAGTGACCATAGTTGATGTATTTTCCTCTCCCCTCCACTTCCCATTTTCCAATATTGTCGAATTATTATTCCAATGTTGCCGAATTCATTTTAAAACCCATACGTGGGAGAACAAAGAAGATTGGTATTTTACTTTACATCTTAGTTGCTGTTATTTGTTTATTCGTTTGAGTAGTTGGACTGCCACACCTCAAAAAGCAAGGGATCAGGGTTACCACAGTGGATAAGGTATGAGCTACATTTGGAAATGATTTGTCTTGTGCATAAATTGTTTCAGCAACTGCGGACAGTCAGCTTCACTTGGACATTGAGACTAGTTGTGACATGGACAAAAGATGGACTGGATTAAGTAGGTTATGGAATGATATTTACTTGCCCTCAATAACTCCATAATTTGTTTATTTTCCTGATTTTCGGCACTTTACAGTTTTTATTTGCTTAAATTTTTCTATTCCATTTGCATCCATTCGGGACTTCCAGATGCTTTCAGCCCGAATCTGTTCGAGACAATCAGACTCCCGAATGCCGTCCGTTCGTTTTAATTTGGGTCTTCCCCACGAACCAGGGGCCTGTGATGTCCGCACTGCCTGCAGAACAGACGTCACGCATGTGCCCTGTGGTGACCACCGAACGTAATTTCACAAACCGGTGCACTTACCACTACTCCAGCGCAATCTTAGGGCCCACTCCAAGATCCTCGATGCATGATACCTCTTCCCGACCGTCTTCCCATCTTGGTACCCAGATCCATCTGCCGCAATCCAGCCTCGCTCGGTCCCCGACTCCATGGAGACACTGACACTGCCCTGGAGCACCTCACTGTCTTTAGAAAGTATTCACAAACAGCATGATGATGCAAAACATGTTCAATGCTTCCATGAGAAGCACTGGTCTAGACAAACGTCATTAGAATTGATGACATCATTGGAGGCAGGTACTTTTGCAGATTTTAACATAACTTTTGTTTTGTTTTTATCAATGGGAGGGGGGTGGGGAAAGGTCAGTAATCAAACCTAAGGAACACTCGGGAGGGTCTTTGCCCCCAAATATTTGTATTTGGAAGCAGATGCTGATATTTCAGTTTCACTGCTTTCTGGGTACTAACAGCAAAGAAAATTAGCTACTCTTATTCCCCTGTGCAGTGCTAAAGCTATTTTAAGATGTCCTCCAACCTCCATGACCACTTCTGTTTTAGAAAGTGGTCACGGTGAAGGAATGTGTGTGCAGCGGTTCTTCTTGAAACACTGCACATACAGAGATATTTGCACTTTTGTGAAGAGCACTAGTTACACCCCTGGCACTGTGACTGTCTTAGGCAGCCTGTAACTCTCTTCAAAACTGTGTAACGTTAATTCTGTGCAAAAATTACATCTGTCATCAGTGTGCACTGCTTGCTGGCGACAAATGTAATGAGCTTCTACCCTTACAGGCAGCGTTGGGAGTGTGCATGCAAGTGGAAGCTTGAAGCAACTCCCTCTCTTATTTAGCCCTCCCTGTCTCCCTATATTTTTTATGAATTACCAATGAGGTTTTTTTCCTTCTTAATACCATCCCTCCCTTGTCTACCTCCCACTCGCTCCCCAGCTTAGAGTGTGATTATTATTATGATATTTATATAGCGCCGTCAAATTCCGCAGCGCTTTACAATGGGTGGACGAACAGACATGTAGTTGTAACCAGACAAGTTGGACACACAGGAACAGAGGGCTTGAGGGCCCTGCTCAATGAGCTTAGATGCTAGAGGGAGTGGGGTAAAATGACACAAAAAAGTAAGGATAGTATTAGACTAGTGACAGTTGCAGAAGAGGAATCAGTCAGGAGCTATTACCAGTTTAATTGATACACTTTTATGAAGAAGTGGGTTTTTAACGATTTTTTGAAGGAGTGGAGACTGGGAGCGCTTTAAAGCCAGTGAGCTGGTCCAATCATATTCTTCTATATGAGGAACATTTGATTGGACCTCAGAAAGAAAAGCACCCGACCAGGCTTAAAAAAACAGGGGATCTAATTTCCTAATGCCCAATATGGCATTTTAAATTAAAAAAAAACCATAAAAGTTTATTTAAAAGGTTTGGAGTAACCCTTTAATCCCTAGTATGTAGGCAAGGCACATATTCTAGATTTTATAATGCTGCCCACTGTTTAAGATAATAGTGATATTTCACAAAGGTCCATTCGTTAACAGGGCATATTGGAGTCACGTTTTACCTCTTTTTTTTCTTCATTAATGGTATCATGATCTACTCCAGAATCTCTCCAGCATTTTGTAGGGAACTGGAGTCAGAATGACAAAATATAAGTATAGCTGTAATATAGGTGACTTGGTAATAATCTTTGAGCTAGTTATAGCATGGCCTTATTAACAGAACGTTTGCATTTGTTTTCAATTCTCTGCAATTCAAAGAACACAGATTTTCTCCTCCTCATGGAGAAGTGTTGGCAGAATTCAAGGCGAATTTTAAATTTAAGGCCAGAGTTGCCAAACATCATCGACTTAGAAAATGTTTCTGGCTATTTTGACCTTAAATTTAAAATTCGCTTTGACTTCTCAGTTTAGTGAATAACACTGTTAGAGATTTGGCTATTTTACCTGGAATTTGAAATTCACATTGAATTCTCTCTCTAGTAAATAGCCATGCACATCTCCTCTCCTCGCATTCTGAATAGATCACAGCCAGACCTGAATCCTTGCCCCTCCCTTCTGTAACCTAAGCAGCGAGCCACTCCCAAAATCTGCACTCCTCCTTTCTCAGACGTCGGTTCTCTTCCCCATTCCACCTCCCCTCTACCCAGAAGTCCTGCCCTCTTTTCCTTTTAAACTTTCCCTGGCATGGAGTTGGCACTTCCCCTTTCCTGTTATTTGATGTGGTTCTACATTTTTGGTGAGTTTGAGAAACCCACTTTGTTACCTTAACTTTCTTCATTGATCACCTACCGTCACCTCTCTCCACCCCTGCCTCTTCCAATCTGTCCTAGCTACAGACCTCTCTCGTTCCCTTATAACAAATGGAACACACCATAGCCATATTATATGTCACATGTCCTGTTTCAAAACACGGGAATGATGGGAACTTAAAAAGACATTACATTTTCACAAAAACTTTGTAAACTGAAAGTGAAAACCAATCTATGTACATAACAAATGTTGAGAGCCCCCCTCATAAAATATGATGAAGACACAGTGGAGTCAGCTGTACTTTAATGTGCCTAACAAGTTCTGCAACTGCTTTGCATACATAAGGTCTTTTATTGAGAGGTATTAGCTGCCTATGTTCCGTTTTGCTAAGGATCATAGGAGTTGTAGTTCAACAAGTTGCCAGCCAGTGGCAAAACCACAGGTATTATGAGATATCCTATTTATGTATGTTGCATTGATTGCTGTAGCAGTAAATTCTGTAACCATCAATGTTTGTATGGTACATTTTCAAAGAAAAGGGCAAAGTTACTGAAATGGGGGGGGGAAAAAAATCTCAGCTATGTTTCCTGCTCTGATATTTTGAATTTAAAATGTGCCATTCCCTGGTGAATTCTTAAGCGAGCAACTCTGGAACAGGGTGGAGAACTCTCCCAGGTTAATTCACTAAACTCTGAATTGTAGCAAATACATATTCTACAATTTAGACCAAAATAGCAGATTTTGAAAAAAATCTACAATTTAGCTTTATTTACAGCTTGGTTGCAATTCACAATTTACAGGGTTATTCACCAAACCCCAGATTTTGAATGGAAATCTGATTGGCATGGTAATTCTCACATTTACTAAAACCAAGTATGGTTGGAAATTGGTCTGTCTGAGCAGATCTACTCCAATCGCCCAGATTAATTCAGTGTTTGGAGTAAAACTAGTGCTTTTGTATCCAAACCCTGTATAAAGTATCGGGACGTGGAAAATTCACAAAGCTCGGCTTGAATAAAATTCGAGACAGAATGTATCAGGTAGGCAAATTATTGTTAATTTTCCTTCATGCAAGTTAATCATTTTAAAGGGACACTGTAGACACCCATACCACTTAAGCTCATTGAAGTGGTCTGGGTGCAATGTCCCATGTCCCTTAACCCAACAGTGGTAATTACTGCAGTTTCTGAGAAACTGCAATAATCACCTTGTAGGGTTAACTCCTCCTCTACTGCCTGTCAACCAGACAGCCACTAGAGGGACTTCCGGAATCGAAACAGACCTTTGTTCCGTAATCTGACACTGGACGTCTTCGTGCTTTGCCTGAGGACTTCCAGCGTCAGATTTTTTCCCCATAGGAGAGCATTAAATTTTGCTTTCCTATGGGGAAATCCTAACGCGAGCGTGGGCATGGGCTGGAGAGAAGCGTGGGCAGAGCCTGACCCATTGCCGAAGGGGTTTTAACCCCTTCAGCAGCACAGTAGGGAGTGGGAGTGCGAGGTAGGGGGCACTGTAGGATTCTACAGTGGCACTATAGAATTCCTTTAAGTACTATTTGCTCATAGGCAATGCAAGCGTTAATTATGTGGCAGATGTCAAGGCTTGCTAGCCAGCCGCCATATTACTGTAAGGGCGGTTTAAAAACTCTCTTTGCCCACACCTGCCATTTGACAGGTGTGGACATGTCTACTAAATGTTTAAAACTAGTGACTGGTCAGTCATTGCTGCCTAGTTGCTGGAAGAGCCCCATCCCATGATAATGGGGTCTGTAAAATAACAGTGGGTGGATGAAGTCCCCTCTGTGGGCATCAGGTGGTGGACTATTAAATAAACTGTCCACCCCCTCTGCGGTGGGGGCTATTCAAAAAAAGGAACAGGGGGACATCCTTATGTCCCCTCTGCCCCCACCTGTATTCATCGTGTATGCATCTCTACGGGGAAAGTTCAGCATCTCCATGCAGAGCGTGAAGACGCTGAACGTTAGTTCAGCATATTGTGCAGCACTTCCCCAGGAACTCACCTCTAGTGTGCACCTGAGTGGCTGCAACTGTAGGTGTCTCAATGTAAACACTGCCGTTCTCTGAAAAGTCAGCCTGGGCATGCTTTAGACAAGTGACTTACTTACAGAATGTAACTGAGACATGAGGTGAGGAAGGCCATCTATGGACAAATAAGAGGCAAACTATTACAAATGTTAACCGGAAACAAGGTTATTGAGGACCTTCTCGAACAAACTTACAATCTAGAGTTAGTCCTTTTTTAAAGATTGAAACCTGGCTGGTTCTCTTGCATCCTTACAGCATGAGCCAGGGGGGGGGGTGAATTCTATTACTCAGAATTAGCGGAGGCACAGCGCTATGTGGATGCATACAGTTTGCTCTGATCCTGGAGTCGCAATAAACCAATCACTGCTGGCTTTCCACCCATTGTTTGCATTTTGCTTTCTACTTCTTCCCATTCAAAGCCAGCTCAACAGATTTCTCATCAACAGCTTATAAGGATTTCTTGAGCTATGTAAAAGTCTATAGATATCAGTAAGTGAACCTTTTAAAATAAGGTCAAGTATTTAAATGTTGATGATGGGAGATATATGTACAAAGTTGGGCTTATAGTATGATAGAGATATATCCTTTAATCTGGGTCTTCAGCTTGTCTCAAATTTAACAAGAGTGCATAAAACCAAAACCAACTGATAGTAGAACCCACTAAAATTATTCACTCTTATCACCTGTCCAGGGGATACAATCTTCCCATCTTCAACAAAGAATGTGATTCTAAACTGTTTGGTCTATACTCCGATATTCATCTTTTATCCCTGTCCATCTGCTTTGCAAGCATCGCCCACTGTGTCCTAGAGAGCCAGTCTATACACCATCAGCAATTTATAGAAAATGTAAGCGGTATGGTTCTTGAAACATTTGATACTCAGCCAATAAATAGCATTAAAATATGTATAAAGTAAATATTGCTAATAGAAGTGAAGCTGCATCAATATCATGGTAGGTGTTGCGCCAGGTGCCTCAGTAACCCACCAGTTTAGTTAAACTGATTGAAAACAACCAAGAATAATGGAACAATGTCTGCAGCCTAATGGTACCTCAACCACTACATTGGCATGTGGTGCTTTTAATGCCTATTATTATTATTGTTTGCATGTATGCTCTTTCAAGCTCTATGGCTTGTTTGTGAACAGAGAATAACATTTTATAATAGCTAAAAAAAAAAGGGGGGGTTCCAAAGACCTATTGCTTCTTTTAGGGAGAAGGGAGGGTCGTTATGCTATGAATAGTGGCTAATGCCATTTGCACAGAAACTGGTGTATACATAGAGAAGGGCGAACTGATCTAAATGTTTTTAGCAGATGGTAAAACATCAGGTTAGTACAGAGGCCTTTAAGACACTGTGCTCCAAGCAAAATTTGTTATATTCTTAACACAAGAATAATAATACTTTATATATTATTATTATTATTATTATTACTACCACACATGTAATAATGACCTGATTGTGTGCCCTTGGCGTGATGCACTAAAATGTGCTCTTGTAAGGAAATGTTAACTAGGGCTTTAAGTGAAGGCATATATGCCCCCATCTCATCCTGCTCCCCCCCCCCCCCAGCAGTGCCCTCAAATGAACCTCCAGATCACATTCCTGCTTAGAGTTAAAGTGCTGGATGCCCATCTTTACTAGAAGACTGTTATTTGTAAAAGGAATACTTATACTGTTTAGCAGAATCACCTTGGAGTCGCTATGGGATTCTGAACAGCTCTTACCTCTGGGGAATTTTTCAAAGCTTGTTAATTATATATCTCTAAAATAGAACCTGTCAATTAAGTCACTTTAAAGAGAAAGGTATAACCTGTTCTTTATAGGTGGCTGGTTCTTTAAATGCATGTATCATTAATTTTTTAGGAAGGAAAAATGTATCATTATGAGTAGCCAAATAAAACCAGGATTATTCAATAATGTAATGTGGACAAAGCTCCAGAGGTGCCATCTAAAGAAAAAAATAAAGTAAAAATGTTTATGCATCTTGTGCATGTTGTATTTGTTACATGCACAATGTAGTAGATTATGAGCTAGAGACTCATGGGTACTGGCACGCTTTAACTACACAATATAGTTAACTTGTATGCATAATCAACATTTACTAAATTGTGAGCACATGATAACCAGTCCTTTGCTGGTCTCTAACATGGCGGGGGAATTTGTAAGGCCGGCTTCACTGCCATTTTGGATCCAGTGTTAATTTTGTCAACGAACAATTTTAGTCAAATTTTAGTTGAGTAAAACTAGACTTGACTGCTGACCCATCCTCCTTTTACCTTCCCGTTGCCCTCCCAATAAGACACCATACACTTTTCTTGTGGATAAGGGCAACGGCCACAGCTTTATTAACTTAATTCAAATCCAATAACCATGACCTGTCAGCTGTTGGGGCGGTTAACCCAACAGACAGTTCTCCACCTCTTTTTCCCAAGAGCCTCAATTTTCACCAGTTTCCTTCCAGAGTCTCTGCTGACTGGTAAGTCTACTCCCCATATCTTTGCAACATTTTATCCAATTTAGTCCAGCTCCCGCCCCATACATGGGCAGCAGTCATGATCCCCCTTCCCAAGGTGTACAGGGGGAAACTAAAATTAAAACAATTCAGATGACTAATATACGACCAGTGGCATACATACCGCAGTCGCAGCTCCCATCAGGCTGAGCCCCCACTGGACCCCAGGGAAAGTCACCCTCCTGCAAAAGGTAGGAAACGGGAAACCTTATGTGTCTCTGTATGTGTGTGTATGGGGGAGGGGGACACGGATCAGTTTTTCACCAGGCCCCATGGATTGTGTGTACGCCACTGTATATGACTAAAACTAAAATTACATTTTAGTCAAATGACTATGACTAAAACTAAATTGAAATTTGCTGCCAAAATTAACTGCACAGAAGGGTTGTGGAAAGGGCAAAAGAGACAGACCAGGGCTTGGGAGAGAGACACCTAGAAGGGAGGGGAGGACAAATAGACACAGAGGGGCTGGGGAAGGGGCAAAAGAAATAGAGGCATTAGATTTTAGTTGTGTCGACTAAAATCTCCAGTAGATTTAAAACTACTAAAACCATTCCGATAACTAAAATGACATTTTAGAACTAAATTGAAATTTCCTACAAAAATGAACACTGGTTGGATCCCAGCCAGGAACCGAAGTAGGCCGAAGTTGCAGGGTGTGAGGGAGTAAGTGTCAGCCCTATTGCTCATTATGTAGTTTAGTGTGCGCACAATTTAGTAGGTCATGCGCACAAGTTAACTATACTGTACTCTCTCATATTCACTATCTACTAAATGGTGTGCACCTTTGGGTCTCTGTAGATTTTTCAAGAACTGAAAGTTAATTTAAAGTAAGGGTTTTTTTTTTGTTTTTTCATTTTGTGGCAAAATAGTTGAAGTTGACTTAAGTGGTGAGAATTTCAACAGTTTGGTTATTGTGGTGGGTCACAATTTAAAAAAAAAAATGTATTTGGAGGTTCATTTATTTCTATTTATCTTACTGTATTTACTGGGCTTGAACATGGGCCACTTGGGCTACATTATAGGAAGAAAAAAATGTTACGCTCTGGGTGTGCATCAATAGAGCATGTAGTCCATCGTCACTAAAATATACTGCATTTGTGAAACTTAGTTGATGCTTTCTTTTTTTGTTTTTTGTCTGTTTATTAGGTCTGAGTGCTGACTCTGTACCTCACAGCTCGTTAGTGACTTTCCAAGATGAATCTGTATCTGAGAGCGGAGAAACATGCAAAGGAATCGTCCTCATCACCGCCAATCAGTCAAGCAGCTTGGTATTGCCTTTTTTAAAACTGCCTCGTGCTATTTCTTCAAGGGGCAGTGGGCATAGTAATGACAGAGTAGGATAAATGGTGGAGTGCTGTGATTAAGTATTGTTTGGAGAACTTCTCTCAGTCTTCTTCACATTCTGTTCAAGAATTGTATTTGGGAGACGTAGCTGTTCATGGCAGCTCCAGAATGAGTCTTTGTCTTGGCATGGTCTGGAAGGTCAGATTGGTTTAGGAGCCTCAGTGTAATCTATTCACTAAGTTATCTGAATTCCTATGTTGCAAACTAAAATTCCCTTTGTGAAGCCCATTTTTCCGTTCATGAAACACAAATTTTTTTTTTTTTTGTTGTTGTATTTGCAGCCATTTGGTTAAATGGTTACTCCAAATACCATGAGCACTTGAGTGGTTTTAAAAGGCCATGTTGCCTGGAGTTTGTCTTTGTAGCGTTTCACTGCCCATACAGATCTTAACCCTCGTGCTGCTGGAGGTGTTACTTAATTTTTGGCATAATTATTGTGTGTTATTAGCTTATCTGATATCTGTGCAAATGTATCATCTGTCGTCCACACACACTCAGCATGCTTGCAACATCCAATGGCGGCAACCCCCTCTTCTGCGCCACCCATATCCTCCACACAAGCCTTCTTGACATCCTTTTTTTGGGGGGGGGGGGAGGGGGGAAGGTTAAAATTCTGTTCACAAACCGTATTAGATCCTGTTATCCTGTTAACATTTTTGTGGGCACTGCACATGTGCAAATTAGTAATTAGGACAGAGCAAGGACACTGCTCATGTGCAAATTAGTAATTAGAACAGGGCAAGGACACTGCTCACGTGCAAATTAGTAATTAGGACAGAGCAAGGACACTGCTCATGTGCAAATTAGTAATTAGAACAGGGCAAGGACACTGCTCACGTGCAAATTAGTAATTAGGACGGACATAGGACACTGCTCACGTGCAAATTAGTAATTAGGACGGCCATAGGACACTTCACACTTGCAAGTTAGTAGTTAGGTCAAGGATAGGGCTACACTTGTGAAAATTAGTTAGTAATTAGGACAGGGACAGGACACTGCACACCTGCAAATTAGGTAGTAATTGGGACAGGGATAGGACACTGCACACCTGCAAATTAGGTAGTAATTGGGACAGGGATAGGACACTGCACACCTGCAAATTAGGTAGTAATTGGGACAGGGACCGGACACTGCACACCTGCTAATTGGGACAGGGACAGGACACTGCACACCTGCAAGTTAGTAATTAGGATAGGCACAGCTCCCAAGATGACGTGGACTACCTCTCCCTAGATGCTTAAGAATAATATGGGAGATGTAGTCCACAAGATATGGAGTACCGAAGGTTGCCTACCACTGGATTAGAATTTTGTAAACCTGGATATTCATAGTATAATTATCTCAAACATCATAGCTGTTGTCGTTACAGACATATTGGTAAATGTTGTAGTCAAGTCTGCTAGGAATTTAGTAAGTGTTAATTCTACACTGCCAGCCGGCCAAAGGTTTTTTTTTTTTTTTTTACTGCATGCTAACCTTTCCCTGCACATACTAAACTCTCTAAAAAACGAGATTGGATAAAAGAACACTGCATAATAATAGCAAACACTTATAAGGCAATAAAGTTACTCTTAAAAATACATACTTTCAAATTAATGTTCACTGTTTTGTTTTCATTTTTTAAGTAGCCCTCAGGGAGAGGTGGTCTTTTGTCTCAAAATAAACCAAAACAGGGTGCAAGCGACTCTCTAAATAGTCTCAGAAAACACACGAGCTGCTCTGGTCACTTTCATACTGTTTCCTGATTTACTAAAGCCAGCATTGTTTGTTTTTGTAGCTCTGATCTATTCCTCAGAAATCCTTAAATTTCAGGTTTAATTTGAGCTGAATTTAAAACACATGAATGTCTCATGGAGCCAGACAGCTTCTTGTTAATATGAAAAGTAAAGTAAGTAAGCTGTTTTAAGCGGTAAGAGAATGGGACATTCCAAAGACGATTCTAAAGTTAGTTAGTTATTTTTTCTAAATTACATTTTGGAAGCTCTCGAGACTGCAGATTATCAGGACAGGCTCAGACAGTGCTGGGTTTATATCTAATGTAATGTGATCTGACTGCAGATTACCAGGACAGGCTCAGACAGTGCTGGGTTTATATCAAATGTAAGGTGATCTGACTGCAGATTATCAGGACAGGCTCAGACAGTGCTGGGTTTATATCTAATGTAAGGTGATCTGACTGCAGATTATCAGGACAGGCTCAGGCAGTGCTGGGTTTATATCTAATGTAAGGTGATCTGACTGCAGATTATCAGGACAGGCTCAGGCAGTGCTGGGTTTATATCTAATGTAAGGTGATCTGACTGCAGATTATCAGGACAGGCTCAGACAGTGCTGGGTTTATATCTAATGCAAGGTGATCTGACTGCAGATTATCAGGACAGGCTCAGGCAGTGCTGGGTTTATATCTAATGTAAGGTGATCTGACTGCAGATTATCAGGACAGGCTCAGGCAGTGCTGGGTTTATATCTAATGTAAGGTGATCTGACTGCAGATTATCAGGACAGGCTCAGACAGTGCTGGGTTTATATCTAATGTAAGGTGATCTGACTGCAGATTATCAGGACAGGCTCAGACAGTGCTGGGTTTATATCTAATGTAATGCGATCTGACTGCAGATTATCAGGACAGGCTCAGACAGTGCTGGGTTTATATCTAATGTAAGGCGATCTGACTGCAGATTATCAGGACAGGCTCAGACAGTGCTGGGTTTATATCTAATGTAAGGTGATCTGACTGCAGATTATCAGGACAGGCTCAGACTGTGCTGGATTTATATCTACTATAAAATAATCTGACTGCAGATTATGAAAACAAATTCTTACAAATGTATAATAATCTCATATCAGATCATCAGATCAGGCTCAGCCAATGTTGGATTTATATTTAACCCCTTAAGGACCAAACTTCTGGAATAAAAGGGAATCATGACATGTCACACATGTCATGAGTCCTTAAGGGGTTAAAGGGGAACTAGAATCACCGTGACCACTACAGCGTAATGTAGTGGTTCCGGTGTCTATAGCCTTTCCTTGGAGGTTGAGTATTTTTAGAGAAAAGGCAGTGTTTACATTGCTGCCTAGGAACACTTCTAGGTACAATCACTCAGACGGCCCAAAGGTGCTTCCGGAGTCAGTGCTGCACTGTGTGCAACCATTATATTCAATGTCTCCACGCTGTACATTGAGGCTCTGAATATTCCCCATAGAGATGCAGCTGATTCAATGCATCTCTATGAGAAAATGTTGATTGGTGCAGCGTGGTGTTTTGCTATGGGAATAGATTGGATTGGCTAAGATTGTGGCGAGACTGGTAGGGTGTGGGCAAAAAGATTAGTAAAAACACCTTTCCTAAGGGGGTCGAGGACCTAAAATAGTCAAACACTACAGTGTCAGGAATACATGTTTGTAGCGTTTCAGGACAGGGCCTTGACTGAACTGATTTTGCATGTAATGCACGGTGATTTCCTGTTGAGGTGCAATTAATATTCTGTAAATAAGGCCTTATTAAAACATATATGCAAACACACACAACGTTTAAATATTAAGGCAATTTCCCTTTTGCATTTACAATTTCCGATTCTCTTCATGAAAGCTCCATGAGATCTTATCAGTAGTTGGAGAGCTATTTATGTAGCAGGCTTTGCTATTTTGAGCTAGGAGGTGGGTTAATACAACTATTTTGGTTTTTTATCTTCCACATTAACCTGCTGGACAAACACTTTTTTATAATTATGCAGGCCTTTCCTTCCCGACTACATGTGTAAAACATGATTAAAATTCACACAAACATCTAGATGATAACCATCTTCTTTGGACAAAATGATGTTGTGTTGTTCCCTTGTATGTGAACTCAATGGCTTACTAGGCTTAGGTTAATAAAATACATATGTAACATCCATTTGAACACACATAGATTTTCCGCAATAATAATAATAAGGTGTGCAGAGTTGAGCAGGCATTGACCCGTGGTTTGAATATTGGTCAGCAGCTGGGAATTAAATTGGACCTTAATATACAAGTGACTGTTGCAGAATGTTTTCCTGATGTATTTCATCAGGATTGTAAGAGACTGCTTTACCTATCACATTGTATCAGTTTTCCTGATTCTTTCATAGATGACAGTTGGACGTTCAGTAATACACAATTCTCCAATATCCCAGTACTAGATAATAGTTCTTTAAGTCCTGGATCTTCTCATTACCTTGTTAGCTCTCCATTTAACGAGTTAGAGTGGGGCCTCCAAATATACCACTCTACTAAGTGTGGGTCCTCCACCAAAGGGAAATAACCCGTATATCGTACAGTAAGTTTTACCATATTCTAAACTGGTATAAAGTCAGATCAGAAAAAACTGGGATAGCTGTCCACCTGCCCTGACCTTGGCTCTGTCATATGTTCTGTCTGTCTCGGGTATCCTGACATCAGCTTGTCACTGTTATTTTTGTCTGTCTGGGATGTTCTATTACTATTAAGCCCAGCTATTACATGGTGTGGCGAAACCAACCTCGCCACTGTACACTGGAGAAGCCTGGTTGCTCGCCTGCTCCCTTTAGACTATGGCCCTGCAGTTCAGACCTGTTATTTTCCCTGCTGAAAGGTTTATTTATGCCTTTCTGCCAGGGTGTTCGGTAGATTCAATCTACCGAACAAACTACCGAACGATGGACCACCTGGGAACTGGAGTGTGCCGTCAATTGACCGCCCAGAAGCTGCGGTTAACCGCTGCTTAATTGATGAACGCTGGGAGGCCTTTGTTCGGTTGCCGAACACGTGGCAGCGACCATTTTACCTCCCGAACGGCCAGCGGTGTTCAGCGCCTAAACTATGGAACTGAAAACGGACACTTAATTGCGCGAACACCACTGAGCCGCCAGCCTTCTTCCCTTCCCATTCGAGAGCGGAACCGAATGACTGTTCATTCGGTAGTTTAACCGGATGAACAGCATCACCCAGATAGCTAAGCCATGGAGCCTGTTCATGTAACGAAAAGACTATGTGAAGGACTTTGGCTCCATGGTGATTGAACTGTATGTATGTTATCTGAGCGCCATTCGGTAATAATGTGCGCTCAGATCTGAGCTATCTGGGGCTATGTAGAATGTAACTGAATGTAACTGTAGGTAATTTTATGTCTTTTACTGTTTGTTTTCTGCCATGTGGTTAATGGAGTTTTGCCTCTGTCTTTGGAGATAATTGAATTACTTCCCAATTATCTCCAGGGCAGAGAGGAGGGATTGTGATGCATTGTGGGATGGTTGAAATGTGTAAGTCTGTGATTGGTCCTTTTACCCTTTGTGTCCCAGTCTCCCATTTGGTGCCCTAGGGGAGTGTCCACCAGGTGGGAGACCTGCATAAAAGCTGGGCAGTTAGCCCCAGTAAATGAGTTCCTGCTTAACCCTCAAAGTGAAGTGTCGTCTCATTATTGGGGGGAGGATTTACTGTATGCTGTTAGAGACTGATTGCCAGGAGTGTAAGCCGCTTGGGGGCTTTTCCTGTTCATCTGCTAGCAGCTATTCGTGTGTCTCCAGTTCGGGAGTTTGGAGTGCTACTTGGTATGCAGTTCGGGAGTTTCGAGTATTCCCTTGGTTGCAGTTCGGGAGTTGGTGAATTCGTGGGTTTGCAGTTCGGGAGATTGGTGCTTGCAGTAGCTGTCTGTGCAGCTGAAAATATTGCCTAAACGGTTTTTAACCGCTTGTGGGCAAAACGGTCCGTTACACATGGACTGGTAATATGTGTGTCTCTGTCTTTCCTACCTTTGTCTTTTGCGATCCAACCCATAGGTTCTTGGGTTAACCTGACTTACAGTTGTTTCGAAAGTGGCACACAGCAAAGTAAGTAAAGTCTTTTTTTTTTTCTGTACAAAACTTTGCTTTGCCAGGATGCCAAATATTGCATAGTCAAGGGTAAGTAATCCTACATATTTAATGCAACATCCTATTGTTACAATTGCATTCCAAATCTTGTTCCCCCTGCATTGACTTTATAAGACCAATGGTTGGGTTTAATGGCATTCCTTGCAGACAGACAAGAATAGCAGTGACAGGCTGATGTCAGGATAGACAGAACAATATGACAAAGCCAATGTCAGGGCATGTGGACAGCTATCCCTCTCCTAGCTTTTGCTGTTCTGTATCCACCATTAAATATCCCAGTGGCCTAGTCTTTGGTATACCTTTGGGATTACAGGGGAGCCAGCCCATATACAAACCTACACAGGATTGGGCTACCAAAGGCCTTGTACAAATGCCTCATGCTTCCTCACTCTTACTGTACTGTGCGAGCAAACATCCCAACACACTTCCTGCTATTTTAATCCATTGAAGATCATTGCTGTGAGGATACAGTCCACAATCCCTGTGTGCTAGTATCTTAGGGGACAGTTGCTGTATGGGAGACTACCCTCCCATAACCATATAATACATTAATCATTAATAAATTAATTCCCTGTCTGTGTCTCATTGCCCACAAAATATGTCTTTTCACTAGAGGACTTTCTAAAATGCTCCCGGTACTCCTCCAATAGAAGCATATTGCTTGTTAAACCCAAGACCTATGTTTAATGATTTGATGACAAAACTTGTGCATAGATAATAATAATAATAATTAATAATATTATTTATATAGCACCAGTAAATTCCGAAGCGCTGTACAATAGGTGGACTAACAGACACGTAATTGTAACCAGACAAATGGACGTACAGGAACAGAGGGGTTGAGGGCCCTGCTCAATGAGATTACATGCTAGAGTGAGTGGGGTATAGTGACACAAAGGGTATAAGTAGGGGTAATGAAATAGGTTGCTAGAAAGTAATCATTGAGAACTTATTATTTTTTAAAGTTGCAGGAGAGGAGTCATCGGGCAATGTATAGTAAAAGGCCTATTAAAGCACTATTATTAGCACGGGTTTCTTCTATTATGTCTGTTAGTAACTGTTGAAAGGCTCGTCTTTGTACAGCTGCAGCAAAGTCTGTCATTATGAAGACCGCGGCTGCCCTCTTCTGTGGTTATTTTGGTCTTATTATGTAGGTCTCTATGACTATCACTTGACACGTTGTATTCTATTAGTGGATACATGTGGTCCATCAGTAAGCTATATGTCAATCTATAGAAACAAATATGGTAATAATGCTCATATTGTGTGTTTGTTGTAATGGCAAACGTCTTCTTTTCCGAGACAGCTAGATACCTGTTACACATCTACAACATCAGTTTATTAGCTACTAATCCAACTGTGCTAGACAGCATGTACTAAGCATGGTGGGAAAATCTTATCTATATCTTCCATTTGAGGAGGAACATATAAATTTATAATCATTATGTGCCCATGTGCAGGTGTGTGATTCCCTTTGGAGTGTGGATTCCCCTCTTGCTCATGTTGTGTGTCAGGAATCTGGCTGTGGAAAGCCAAACCATACGTGGACACTACAGTCTGTGCCCCATCTAGATGCCGTCCAAGGAGTACAATGCACAGGTACTGATACCAGTAATTGGTAAATGTTGCATTAATAACTGTGGGTCATACTCACTTATGCTAGTTCTACTTTAATTTTAGGAGATGAATCAAGTGTGAGAGAATGTGAGGATACAGGGCATATTCAACAGAACTGCACTCTTCAGAGCATCGCCGCTCTAACATGCAACCAGAATATCAAACACAGTCCAGGTACTGATCGTTTATAGCACAGACTGCATATAGCACAGTCACACACACACTGTCCAGCTACAGACTGCATATAGCACAGTCACACACACACTGTCCAGCTACAGACTGCATATAGCACAGTCACACACACACACTGTCCAGCTACAGACTGCATATAGCACAGTCACACACACACTGTCCAGCTACAGACTGCATATAGCACAGTCACACACACACTGTCCAGCTACAGACTGCATATAGCACACACACACACTCCAGCTACAGACTGCATATAGCGCAGTCACACACACACACACACACACAGTCCAGCTACAGACTGCATATAGCACACACACACACACACACACAGTCCAGCTACAGACTGCATATAGCGCAGTCACACACACACACACACACAGTCCAGCTACAGACTGCATATAGTGCAGTCACACACACACACACAGTCCAGCTACAGACTGCATATAGTGCAGTCACACACACACACACAGTCCAGCTACAGACTGCATATAGCACACACACACACACACACACAGTCCAGCTACAGACTGCATATAGCGCAGTCACACACACACACACACACAGTCCAGCTACAGACTGCATATAGTGCAGTCACACACACACACACAGTCCAGCTACAGACTGCATATAGTGCAGTCACACACACACACACAGTCCAGCTACAGACTGCATATAGCGCAGTCACACACACACACACACACAGTCCAGCTACAGACTGCATATAGCGCAGTCACACACACAGTCCAGCTACAGACTGCATATAGCGCAGTCACACACACAGTCCTGGTACAGACTACATTTGCACAGTGACCGTGTCAGTCCATGTACAATTTACAGTCAAACACTGTCTCTCAAATGGACCACACATGACAGAAGAATGTAAAGACTCACATGACGGTTACTTTTCATATGATGAATTTGACTCTAACCTCTTCCAAATATAACACTGGTCTTCGCTTCATGAAGACACTTCACCTGTGCTTTTTTTATCCCACAGGTAACTGTTTCATGCGGCTATCCAAGGGTCGCAGCTCATGTGATGGACATATAGAGGTTATGACTGGGAATACTTGGAGCCCTGCATGTTTTACAGGCATCAAGGACAGTGATCCCCAGGTCCTCTGCCAGCAGGTAGTTTTTCTCTCATGCTTAGTTCTATTTCCTCCAGAATGTTAAAAGTTCCTCAGGGAGCCTGATATACTTGAGCTCTTCCATTATATAATGACAACAGATTTCTTTGGTATTTAATAGTTTTCTGGGGTTTTGTTTTATTTTTAATATAAATATATATATATATATATTAAAAAAAATACAAGCAGTGTTGCACTCACTGTAAAATAGAATCACTGCCTGGTGCTTATCTGGCAAAGATATAGAGATAAAGGTAGATAGCACTCCACGGACTTAATCTTCAAATAAGAATTAACTTTTAATGCTCCAAGTTAAAAATCAACGTTTCAGTCTGGACAATCAGACTTTCAGCAGGTCTGATTGTCCAGACTGAAACGTTGATTTTTAACTTGGAGCATTAAAAGTAAATTTTTATTTGAAGATTAAGTTCGTGGAGTGCTATCTACAATTATTTATATATATATATATATATATATATATATATATATATATATGTTTAGCATTGTATTAACTATCCACATACTTCAGGTGGAAGGGGTTTTCAATCACAATTTTTCCCCACCATAACCTATTTAGATTTTGCTTCCCAAGCACTACCAAGCCTCACTAAGCAAACCAGTAACCAACCTCATGCTGAAGAGTTGCATTAACAATGAAACAGCTGTCCATGAGTGGTTCACTGGTTTTGCATCTTATCCTAAATTGTGTTCCAAGCAGTTGTATACTGCAAACACAAATTAAAGGAATCCATGTTTAAAATGGAATGAGGCAAAAATGTGATTCTTTGTTAAACTAATTTGCATATGCCCACCCAGAATCCTTTGCGGTTGTAACATCACTGCTGATGTGGGATTTCTGTGGGAAAAGCAAGTCTTATGGCTTGACTGGTGTGCAGATTTTTGTTTAGCATTGTATTAACTATCCACATACTTCAGGTGGAAGGGGTTTTCAATCACAATTTTTCCCCACCATAACCTATTTGGAATTTGCTTCCCAAGCACTACCAAGCCTCAATAAGCAAACCAGTAACCAACCTCATGCTGAAGAGTTGCATTAACAACGAAACAGCTGTCCATGAGTGGTTCACTGGTTTTGCATCTTATCCTAAATTGTGTTCCAAGCAGTTGTACACTGCAAACACAAATTAAAAGGAATCCATGTTTAAAATGGAATGAGGCAAAAATGTGATTCTTTGTTAAACTAATTTGCATATGCCCACCCAGAATCCTTTGCGGTTGTAACATCACTGCTGATTTGGGATTTCTGTGGGAAAAGCAAGTCTTATGGCTTGACTGGTGTGCAGATTTTTGTTTAGCATTGTAAAAGGTGAAGTGAGTGTGCGAGAATTAGATCATGGTTGCAGTCACAGAAATGGCTTTGCTGTAGGAATTAGTGCAGTATATCTCTGATTGTCCCTTTAGTACTTTAAATAATCTTCCATCCTTTATGTATGTTTTATTTTTTCTGATTGCATGTAGATCTCCTTGTACAGGTTGTATGTGCTATCACTGGATAATGTGTAATGTGAGGTGCTCTGCCCTATGTATTTTGTATGTGCCGGAATTCTTCTGGACTGCACTCAAGATTCGAATCTAGCATGTGAAAAAGGGTCCACCCATCACTGCTTGTGTTTCAAAAAGGCTACACTATTAGTTATGTGATGCCTAAACTGAAATTGTTTGTAAAGTGTATGTTATCTGTATGCTTAATAGTCCATTATGTTGGTGAAAATTGTTCAAAACTGGCTTTTTTTTAATCTGGTAGTTCTACTTGTTCCTGTTGTGACTAGTCTGAAGCTATGTGCTATAATAATAATCTTTTTTTTTTTTTTTTTTTTTCTTGTGTGTGTGTGTATAGATGAATTGTACATATGAGCGCCCTGCTTTCTCTTCTGTGTACAAGCATAAATCACGGGCAGCTGTTATGATCCAGTGTCAAGAAAACCAAACCTCTCTCTGCAATTGTTACCACCATAGTGTGAATATTTGCCAATCTGGTCTCACTACATATTTGCAGTGTAATAGACCAAGGTGAGTCCAAGATGCACAGTGGGAGTGGGATACTCTGTTTATTGTCCATTCTAGGTGTCAAGCAGACCATGTGCGTTGGATGAAATGCTGTTAGGTTTGTGGCCTTCTGTGGTTGGGTCTGCTCATGTTTTGTATCTTCTGTGATGTTTTCTCTTTATGTGGTGCTTTTTCTCCATTAAATTGCATGATGAGTAGATGGCATTATATGATGTATGCATGTGGTGCTAATCGGGAAGATTCCTTTAACAACTTGTGTTTTTTCTGTTTTTGTTTTTTTGCTAGGATGGATGAGTCCTGGTTAGTGTGGGCTGGCATATGTCTTGCTGCAATGTGTATTGTAGCAATGTGCTGGGTACGTGCTACCAAGTCCTGGAAAAGATGTGCTCCATCTTTGTATAAAAATATACGGTCATGTCTCTCCTGTCCCTCAAACACTTATGAACGGGGTCGCCAGAACTCCAAACGACGCAGGAACATTTATGAGACCCCTAACCTTGTAGTCCAAGAGACCTGTAGCCCTCCGTCCTCCCCTACTGTCCTACAGAATCCAACAGGTAAGTGAAATCACTACTATTAAAAACATGGAATATTTTCTCAGTGTGCTTATTGAATTGACCTCTGCATGCTTTTCAATACTCTACTAACTGCAAATACTATAAATAACTTTATATGAAGTTTGTTTTCCATTAAAAACCTGGGTCGCTTTTTGGTTTATTTTATATAAATTTGTGATTTTAACTGCCATACTCCACTCTCAGACGATGTATCAGCCTTCAAGGGGAAACACCACATCCAATGATTCGTTAAAGAAACACCCCAGAACATAAAGCACCTCAGTTTGCTGAAGTGCGTTATGCGTATGGAGTCTGTCAAATTTGTGACCGTTAATAAAAGTGCAGATTTCAATTGAAATTAAAACTTTTATGAAGCTTTGTTGAAATTCATACTGTGGTCAGACAGCTGGAGAGGATTTCTTCCTCTTTTTTTTTTTTTTTTTTTAGCTCCACAGAGCTAACAAAATCGTCAGGCTTGCCTTCTCAATGATACAAGTCATTGAGAAATATTGGAATGCCATCGCATGAATGCCTGCTCTCGAGGTTTCAGCACAGATTGTTTACAATGAAACTCTGGTGCATTTCCAGGCAGATTCTGGAATACTGTCCTGGTGAAAGAGGTGAGAACAGAAAACGTGCAGAAAATAAATACATGCACACTTTCTTTGTGGGCATATTTACCAAATTATTGAGAAACATGAAAATAAAACCATTTCAGGGAATTGTTCCTTTTATTATGTTTGCAAATCTGCTATATCTAACTAATTGCATTTGTTAGGTCTGAAAAAATTAAGTGAATAAATCTACATCGCTGTACTTAGCTACATCCTGAAATTGAGCGACTTGTTATTGGTCCATGTCAACCATTGTTACAAGCTCTTCCCTTTTATCTCTACTATTTCTCTTAATTGCATTGTGTGCCTTGGCTGTGCCAGTCCTTGAAGGGATGCTATAGGCACCCCAGACCACTTCATCTTAATGACGTGTTTTTAGTGCCATTTCCCTCTTGTTTTAGCCCTCAGTGTAAAACATTGGCATTTTGCAGGGACAGCAATGAATTGCAGCGTTTAAATGCCTCTAGTGTCGGTCACTCTGATAGCCACTAGGGGCGCTTCCACGGAAATAACCAATTAAAATTCCGGTATTTTAATCAGATGGACCCCTGGGTAATATATGCCAGTTTGCTAAGTTGGGTAAACATTTAATCCTGTTATTTTTTGTTGTTGCAGAAGTGAATGCCCTGCTGGCTCCCCACGGTTTCCGCCTTAATAATACAATTACTCCTCCTCCCAGCTACATGCATGCTCTCAAAATCCTCTCACGACCATTGGAAAACTCACAGACTCCACCACCCAGCTACCTAGAAGCTCTGAAAATTCTCTCTAGGCCAGTGCTGGTACACGTTCATGCCGAAGAGGACTGCGAGGAGAAGGAGGATCTGACGACTTACACTTATGGGGAGAAGGAAGGCAATACTCAGGACAATTGATGAGTCCTGCTAATATTCAGTAATGCATACAGAACATATATACTGACTGCTGACTAATGAACGTCTGAAGATCAGCATAGCTCTAACAGCATCACTCCATTGGCCACATGTATTATAACCTCGACACTGTTTCCGTTGTTCTTGATAATGTTTCATACTATGTAATTTAAATAGGTCTATTAGTGCATACAATAAGTATGCCAACCTACACGTGTAAGCATGTCTGCCCATGTCCATTAATATTTAACCTGTGAAGAACTTGAATTTGTGGATGGCAGCTAATTAATTTCCAAACCTCCCAGTTTCCAGATAAATTCACTTTTCCCTTCGTTACATAGCTTTTTCTTGTGCAGTCCCTGGTTCTTTAGGTGGGTACAGGAAATATGCAATTTGTATTTTGCTGACAGATGTTACATAATGTCAAGGATTCACTTGTAAAGTGTTGACTTCAAAATATCGAGCATATAAATGGTGACACTAGAGTGGTTCTCCCTTCATGTATCTAGCACAGTTTACAGTGGGATAACCCCACATCCTTAAAGTGCTGGGAGTTACTGAGTTGTACATCCTAACCTTGAGACAGGCATATGCTGTTAGACATCATCTTAAGCCAGTCCACAGGCCCTTAAGTAAGGTACACTCCTAAGCTCCGCAAAACCCACACTAATCCCCAACACTAATGAAGACATTTAAAAACTGTACGATTAGGAGTGGCTCTGTAGCGACACTGTTCTTATGACAGCTGTACCATTACTGCAACATATTAAATTCATCCCTTTCGACAGCGACATTTTCATTGGCCACTTACATCAAAGACAAGCATGAACTCCGATCTGATGTTATCGCACCCCCATTAGGTCACTAAGTCCAGATGGTGATCATTCATGTTAGTACCCTTTTTGTTTTCATTGGCATCTCTTTTATGAGCAAGTCTGGTTTACACCAAACCTTTTGCCTTTCCTCATACTGATTAGTGTAGATAACTAGTGTTGTATTTCTAGGAATGAATTAAATTCTGTCCCCAAATGAAAATCTCATTTTAATTATTTATTTCAAGCCCTGTTCATTTGTAACAGTGCCTTTTATATATTGTATTTAGCAATGTATATTGCATATTGCTATGAGATTTTATTTATTTCCAAATTGCTTTCCTAGAGAGAATTATGTTAAAATAATAATTCTTGATAATTTTCCCTTACATCATCCCTGTAAAACACACTCCTTCACTGATATGTTAAAATGACACTAAACCTTAAAACGCTTAAAAACAGTTTTTGCATTGAATCGTCTGGATAATAAATGGTAAAATGCACAGTTATGTTTATTTTTTACCAAACTGTTTATATTTAATAGGCTGGAGGGCTGCATCGACAGCTCAAGTAAGTTAGCAGGGACTGTGTTTTCATAGACTACCATCAGGTAGGTCCTTTACGCTGCTTAGCACAAGATAATATCTGTATCCATTTCATGTACAATAAGGGACTTGCACTGCAGGGACACTGTATAAATGATACAGATGCTATCCCTCGCTATTTGTTGCAATGCAATATTTGCAGGATGGTAGAGAGACTCTTCACAGTTTTTTTCTGTTTGATTGCGTATGATAGGACCACACTTTCCGCTTTAGAGGTAAAAATGGACACTCATGCAGATAGCAGTGAGCACCAAGATTTTGTAGCTACTGTTCATGAATTCCAAAAATCGATGATTTAAAACTAAATATGTATGTAAAAATGCCAGATTTTTTATTTTATTTAAATCAGTGTTTTGTTTTTTTTAAATTTGATTGCAATGGGATTTCTTTTAATAAAATGCTTTTTGGAGAAAAATCTAAAGATGGTTTTCCATGTTTTCCATTTACATAAAAGATACATTATAGTCCAAACGTTATTCAGCATGAATGGGATTAGCTATGTACCGTGAGGTTTCATCTTTGGTAAATGTCATTAATCCAAATTAATTGAACTTGTGTCTGCAGAAAAAACATGCACATTATTTCCCAGCAAAAATGTTATACAATAAGCATATAGAGTTCATTATTATTCTGCAGCTATAAGTACACACAATGAACACCTTCAATTTAAGTTGTCCTCCAAATAGAAGTGATTAGCCTATTAAAGATAGTTTGCCTCGAAATAACTTAATCATTATATATGCATTTCTAATTGTATATCACAAAATCAGGTCTAATCTGAAAAGCTATTCTAACTCTGTAATAGTCATCTGGTTGAAGATTACAATAATCAGCGAGGAGGAGTCATTTTAAATATCATGAGTATCTAGAGCAGGGTTTAGCAATCTATGGCACATGTGCCATGCATGGCACTCAAGGCTGCCAAAGCCAAGCAGGCACTGTCCTATGAGGAGTCCAAGTGGGACTTCAGATATCTGGTAGGGCAAACCAAGCATACAAATAATACAAAGAGCTCACAGTACCCACGCATACAACCCCACAAGCAGCCTCACATGCAGTACCACAACCAACCCCACACATACACACCTATGCAAACACACTATATGACATCTTATTGGTGTCACCTTGAAGAGATACTGATTACAGTGAAAGTTAATACTAGATGTTTGCAAAACTCTGGTTCGTTCATAAATGAATTGATTTTTGTCACAATCAAAATCCTTCAAATCCACACCTAAATAAATCTATACTTATTATCAATTGACCCAGGTACTGATTTGTTTGGGTGTAAATTAAAAGAATTTTGATTTGGACAAATTTATTCACGTATGGATGAACCAAAGTTTATGTCTAGCTAAAACACATTCTAGCGGCAACAATCTCCTACTATTTTTGTTTGGACATAAAATTGTTGGAATGCATTATGCACCTTATTCTGCTCATACTTGTTTACATATATACTGTTGCATATTCCACTAATGTACTTTTGATTTTTATTTTTTTTAATGTAAATTATTACACGCATTTACCTTGTAATATGACCTAGTTCCTTTCGATAGATCCTGGTTATAGTATCATACCATCTTCCCATGGTTTTGGAAGTGCCCATATTAATATTGGGGAAATGCTGTGACTGTGTATTTGCTGCGTGTTGGAGGAGGGTGACTCTACTAATGGGTACTCCACTAAAACTCTTTTGGACAACCCCCGTCTCTATCCAGTTAAACGGGAGCTGTACCCTCCTCTCCCCTGTTGGTTTTCCACCTATTTCATAAAATGCCCCTGAGTATGGTGCCATGCTTACCTATTGTCATACACTGTATTGTTTTAAATTCTATCCGTGACCTGGTTCACTGGCCTATACAGAAGGTGTCTTTGGATGTAACTGACTGAACACCCTTTTGTCATTGTTGATAATCCATTACTGCTTTCCTGCGGTTTATATTATCCATCTCACACCTTTGTAGATTGCGATCACAACAGAAATTGTCTTGGGTTAAAAAAGAAAAAAAATTGAAATGTGGTGAACACAATTCTGCATGGAGTACTGTCACTATACAATAGTTTTAATACTAGGTATACAAATATTAAACATATATTTTGTATATTTTATATATGTGTAAAATAATATTAAATGTAAAAGTTCATACATCATACATTTCATAGAGAAAAAAAGGTTTAAGGTGATTTTCAATGGTTTATTTAATGGGTTTCAAACTTCTGAGAAGTGACAATTACGAGCTTATATTATGGATCCAATGTGGTTCCACCGGTTCAGCTAGGGTGATGCTGGAAGTGTTCAACTACACTATTCTGTGTTCTTTTTTGTTTTTGTACCCCCCCTCCTTCCTTTGTTTTTATGTAAGTTTGGCAAGTTTTATGTTGTTATTAGATAATCATCGAAGTGTCAATACGTGCATGGTTGCTGAGGAAGCATAATATACGTGTAAGGTATTCCTACTTGGACAACACAATTTGATTCAACTATATGGAGCTCTGGACCACAGGCCAGAGGCCAACACATAATCGCTGTCTTGAATGCCATGTCTTATCCTGTTGTTCATCTGCCCTACACTGTCTATCAGGACACAGTGTTGCTGGGAAAAAACAATAAAAATTAAACTAACAAAAAACAAACCAAGTAGATGCTTAGCTATTTTAGCCTGAATTTTTATTGTTTTTTTTTTTATTATTCACAGTTTAATGATTAAACTATTCACTGTAACAGTGAAATTTGTTAGTGAAATTTTGGTTACAGTATGTTTTTTGCAATCAGTTAAGCTAAACTCTGCCCAACTGCGATAGAGCTTTCTCAAGATATACAGCTGAGTAAGGGTACACATAATTAATTTTGAGAAAGACCCTTTGGGAGTGGAAGTTGACTGATTACATAAACTAACGTGTGAGAGAGATTTAAGTTTACGAACCCTTAGTTTAATCCATCTTCACCCTCTAAGCACACTTGTTACAGGGCTCTGTTTAGACAGACACTCAAGATGGGAAAGTCCTTTACAAAAGGCTCACCTGTCATGAACTGTCAGTCACAGCACTGTAATTGGTTGGATTGGAAGCCAAACAACTGAATGGCAAGACTTACTTCTCGCAAGACTTGTCCAGTACAGTGTATAGGAATAGATTGGACTGAAGGGTGAATATTGATTCATTTTACAGTTTTTGTGACTTTTTTTTTTTCTTGTTGGTTTTGACTATTCTAGTATATTTTTGTATTAATAAATGGTGTCCGTTTAATGAGGGTTGTTTGGCCATTTTTATTCAAAGCCTGAAGAAAAAGCGTGCTTTACTTTTTTTACGCTAACAATTAGTGTGACAAGGTTAGATAGGGACATATTTGGGAAGAGAGGGGTGGGTAGGGGTTTGGGGACTTTTTGTAACTTACTTTTTATTCAATAATTGGATAATCCCTTTCAGACTTAACCCTACCAGGACTAAGAAACAGGGAAACTCATAAGTGTCTGGGAGACTGGATATCTGATGGGTCATTCAGTAGGTTTTTTTTTTTTTTGTTAAAGAAAAGATCGACTGGGCCCAAGATATTTTATTTTTATTTTTTTGCTGTGATGTTGCGGTTTCCTTAAAGTCTCCTGGGATAAAAGGTCCCAGGAGACTTTAAGGAAACCGCAACATCCCATCAACTTATGCCACTTAATAAATTAACATTTACATCAAAGTCTTAAATCTAGTCTTTTTTTGCTCTTTTCAAATAAACTCATTATGTAACAAAAAGCAACGTGGTTGTGGATTTTACATTCAAATAATAAAGATGTGTATTTGCTATGCAATAGAAAAACAAACTATAAAATTGATTAGTTAAAGGAGCACTCCTTAAAAAAAAAAAAATAGCATGCTGGGTGTGGGACCTGAGAACCAAGATGGCCGGATGTTGTTTTTAGTGGCTCCGGCACACTTGTGCTTAAATTCAGCATTGCCTACACAAAACAGCATTGGAATAAGTTTTCAGTGTGAGGTGATCCAACACTTACTGAGCGGGAACACAAGGAAGCTTGATGCATGTTGTTATACTGCCGAATTGCACCGTCCGACTCTGCGGCCTAGCTTGGTTTGTGGCCTGATGACCAGAAGAAGTGGCCTATTTATCAACATGGGCTCTCTTGAAGCCCCGCTGCCCCCTCTTTGGACCGATGGGGGATATCCAGGTCCCCGCTGAGGAAACTTACAACTGTCTAATCGACAGCCACGTGGTGGGCCTAAGATTATCGCCGTGCCCCAGCCACTGCAACACAAGAGAGCCCGACTCTACTTTCGGAAAGAGTGTCTTGCAGCAAAATTTAACACGCGCTGCCAGGGCTTTTTAGCGTGTATATATAGCCAATTTTGCACCCCTGGCCTGCTGTAAGAGCTCGACACTCCAGTTGTCACATCAGACCGCCATTCCTGTTCTGGGTTGGGAGCCCACTTGGTAGTACATCTGATCAGCCGCCCGGATTCCCTGGAGGTTCCCCGAACTCCGAGTTGACCTCGGACCCGAGTCCCTGGCAAGAGGAGAAGGAGGACATTTGGAGCTGCGGTGACCGCTTCCTTTAAGGCCTCGGCTTCAGGGAGTAACAAAACCCTTGTGCAGTGGATTAAATGCAGGTTACAAGCTTGAATCCCAGCTTTTCTTACAACACCGTTTGGGCACAAGAGCTGCAAATCTAACTAGACTGGAGAGGGGCTGTGTCATGTGGTATCTCTTCCGGGTTTGGCACTTCCGCATTGTGGAGCCGGCCCCACCCCCTTCTGACGTGGCTCTGACAGTACTTAGGGAGACAGCGCCAGGGAGAAGGCGCTTGGTGATTGTGGGACCTACTTCCGGGTATGCACGCCGGCTCCACAAGCTCTGACAAGCCGTCCCAGCCTTTGAGCCAATGCAAGGATTGCTGCAAACCATAGAGGATTACTGGAGAACGGATACTTTGCTAATTTACAAGTGGACTATAACTCTGAACTCTTGGAGGACAACTCACCTTAACCTTAAAGGACCACTATAGTGCCAGGAAAACATACTCGTTTTCCTGGCACTATAGTGCCCTGAGGGTGCCCCCACCCTCAGGGTCCCCCTCCCGCCCGGCTCTGGGGGAGGAAAGGGGTTAAAAACTTACCTTTTTCCAGCGCTGGGCGGGGAGCTCTCCTCCTCTCTCCTCCTCCGTTCCTCCTCCTGGGCTGAATGCGCACGCGCGGCAAGAGCTGCGCGCGCATTCAGCCCGTCGCATAGGAAAGCATTTACAATGCTTTCCTATGGACGCTTGCGTGCTCTCACTGTGAAAATCACAGTGAGAAGCACGCAAGCGCCTCTAGTGGCTGTCAATGAGACAGCCACTAGAGGAAATAGGGGAAGGCTTAACCCATTCATAAACATAGCAGTTTCTCTGAAACTGCTATGTTTATAAAAAAATGGGT